TGAAGAATTGATTAATTGTTGAAGTTTATCGAAACCGTTTGAAACAATCGAATTGACAATTTTAGAATAAAAACATGACTTGATATGATTATTCTGGATCTTTGTAAACTGTTTTTAAACCCGAAATTCAATTCAGCGTAGAGTCATGGAGAGAAGGCAACTGAAGACATACACAAGGCCAATTTCATCACATAATTCTTAAAAATGTTGTTTTGAGATTCATATTGAGAATGTTTAAAAAAAGATTTGATACTCAACTTTCGCGTTCATTAATAAAAAATAACATAAGAAGTCCTTTGTAAAGAGTCCATTTGAAAATATTCTTTAGGAATACTGACTAGGAGCAAAGTTACTTTTTTTTTTGAAAATGCACACCAAACATTCATTAAAAATTTCAAAAGTTCGAGCCTTATAAGCTTTATAACGATAATATTTTATTTATTACGAACATTTATCTGTTTATTCCCTTTATGAATATTGTATGGTGTACATGAGCAGAGAAACATATAGTGATTTCTGTGTGTAATAAAAATAGCCATAACATTTGTTTTACCATCAGGCGTGTTTGAAATTTGTAACTTCTGTGTAATTCAAATGTACGTAGAGAAAGTAATTGTTTCTTTTGAACCTTTCATTCCGTTTCTTCTATGGATAATGTATACACGTATTTCATGAAGAGTTCATTAAAATTTATTGATTTTCTTTTCTTTTTTGAAAACTTTCTCCTCCGTTATCATTACTTGTCAGAACAGCAGTTTCATACAAGTGGCCATCGTTGGTTTCTTCTCGGTTACCTTTATCATCAACGCCGGTGTTCCCCAGGGATCAATTTTAACTCCAACCCTTTTTGTATATACACTTTCTTGATTCGAAAAAGAAAGTATTGGCTTTATAAATTTCCATATTTATACAAAAAAATGTGGGATTCTGAAAGTTACTTCTTTGCATGATATACACATCTTTGTAAAGAGTTTATTTTTAAATTATTTGCTTTTTTCATTTCTTTGGAAGATTCCCACATTTTTTTGTATAAAGATGGAAAAGTTGAAATCCAAACCTTTCCCCAACAATTGTCCTGAGGCACTTTAACTTTTGTGATGTTCTGTATGAACCATGCTTAGATCATAACGATAATCATGTCTCAGATTGATCTACGTTATTCACAAATATGATCTAATGTCTCACAAGCTAAGATCCGCAAAGTGATTAAGAAAGCAAGATCGTCGAAAACTTCATTTTCTCATTTTAACCCATGCAATAAACAGTGTCCCCCATATCTTTACAATAAAATAAAATGTAGGATAGATATTTATAACCTTAATTTACGTCATAGGGGGCATATCTCGCTTCCACCTTACAAAGAAGCTTTACCTACAACGTCTTCAAGCTTTTTAATGAGATCAACTCATCACTTCGTACTATGAAACTATATTTATTTTGAGACAAAATGAGAGACAGTGTTTCCACAGATAATATTTATTTATACTTCAACATTTTTAAAACAGTCAAACAGTTAAACTTTGATTTACTAATTACGAAAAATTACAACGAAATTAAACTAACGGTACTGTGGAAACAATTGAACTGAACTGAATAAGCAAAATATTTTATTGTCATATGACATTTGTTGAATAACTCAAAATAGTGTTTATCAGTTTTAGATTTAAAATTGTTTATTCGTTGTCTAGTGTGTTGTTAAAAATGCTGAATCTTCAAGAGAAAATTGAAATCGTTTTAATATGCGGCGAGAATACCGGTTACCCACAAGTAGCTGATATTTTCAATGCCAGACATCCTGCAAGAAATATTCATCAGTCAACAGTTAGTAGGATAATAGCTAAGTTTAAATCTACTGGCTCGGTTGAAAGTAATTTTAGAAAAGCACATCAGCCTTCTAGACATACTGAAGAAGTGGAATTTGAAATATGTTTGGATGTCGTAGAACATAAAAAAACAAGTATACAAGATATTGCAGATAGAACAGATGTTAACCGAGAGAGTGTACGACGTATTTTACACAAAAATAAATTTACGCCTTATAAACCGAAATTTATCAATACATTAAAAGAAAGGGACTTCGATATGCGCTTGTATTTTTCTTTTTGGTTTCAAGTGGAAAAAGAAGAAAATTATCATTTTCCTTATCAAATTTTATGGACAGATGAAGCGACCTTCTCTTCAAATGGCGTTGTGAGCTCGCAAAACTGCAGGTGGTGGGCAAAAGAAAACCCACATTTCGTAATCGAATGTCGAGATCAATATTCGTTTAAGACTAATGTATGGTGTGGCATATTAAACGATCAAATTATAGGACCATACTTTTTTAGACATAATTTAAATTCTGCGGACTACCTACACTTTGTGAATACCGAACTATCTGAAGTTTTGGATAATATGCCCTTTCAAGTAAGACATGTTGTGTGGTATCAGTGTGATAGTGCACCTATTCATACTACAAGGGTGGTTAAAGAGCGTTTTTTGGAAATATTTAGGGGCAAAGTAATCAGTCGCAATATGGAACACTTTTGGCCGCCTAGATCTCCTGATATTGCCCCACTAGATTTCTTCTTGTGGGGTTACTTAAAACAAAAGGTGTATAAGCAAAGACCTTTTCGAGATATAAACCATTTAGAGGCAGTTATTCGAGAATGTGTTGTAAGCACGAAACGCCGTAGTATAAAAAATGCAGTTGAAGATGTTTTAAAAAGGACAATTGATTGCATTGAACGTGGTGGAAGGCACACCGAAATGTGACTTTTTATTTTGTATTTCTATTGGTATTTACATGGTTTAGGCATATGTTTCGATTTGATTTAGTGTTCTTAATTTAATTTATAACTTTATTTTAACAGATGTTTGTTAGAATTTTTTACGGTTTAGTTTTCTAGGCAACAAAATCTAAATTGATTTCTGAAGTAATTTTGTTCATTCATACCTCATAAAAGATATTTAGTAAATGTGAAATTACTTTCGTATAATTCCTTCCCTTAGTTTAATTGCGTTGTAATTTTTCGTAATTAGTAAATCAAAGTTTAACTGTTTGAAAAGTGCAGTAAAGAATAAATTATTGACTTTTCATTGATATTGTTTTTTAATTATGCTTATGTATCAAGCTATTTCGCAAAAAGTAGAAATAAAGTGAAATATTTATCTGTTTTTAAAAACTGTATCAACTTTGCATCATTTTTGGCATAATTTTTTCTGGTGTTTTAAATTTTTGCGAAATAAGTTATATTTAGAATTGCAATTGGTAATAAAAATGCATTGGAAAGATAAGTTAGGCATAAAGCACTAACTTCGTTGAGGTTTGGCTAAATTTGAGAAATCGGCAAATGTCAAATTTTCAAAAAACTGTAAAAAAACTAAATTTGTACTAGAGAGCTAAAAATTGGTACATGGGTAAAAAATGAAAAAACAATCATCTTTTCTCTTTACCGATTTTCGAAATTTCGAGCAATAACTGCTTTTCTGAACATTTTTTGGAAAAAATGTCAAATTTGACAGGGAAGAAAAATCACTTGATCGGTCATATGCATGTCATTTGGCATCATTTTAAAGCACAACCTAATGGAGGTATCAAAAGTTGCTTGAAGAAATGAACAAAACAAAATCCCATTTGATGCGGACTTTATGTGTGACACTGTATATGTTTGTGAAATTATAAAACAACAATAAAAATCAATTGGCGCTCCGGGGCGACTTCATTGATTCCAGTGGCGTATTTACTTTTTCAGCTGCAAGAATACCCGGAAGAACCTGAAGCACAACATCATGTGAAGATCTTGATCTGCCAATGTCTGCTCCAATAAATCCAATACATCGCCAGAACATTTCGTGACACGACTATCGTCAAACTTAAACCAGTCCGTTTCGTCTTTGACCAAGGCGTAATAATAATAAAGGTTCATTTTTCTTTTGTCATACCGAATATCCAGTGGGTGATTAGCCTCCAGACCTTCTGCAAGACCCAGAAGGAAAAATTGAGGTTTTTCCCCAGGGTTCATTAACCCACAGTGTAGGTGAGGTGAGACTGGCTTGAACGAATTGTTCTTTTGGATAATTTGCAAACACTTCATTGTGTTCACCAAGAGGTGAATTGGTCCACACTTACAAGATGTAAAGTAGGAAGTTTCGAGAGTATCAACGTTAGGAATAGCAACGGTTTGTGATCTACTATGCTGTATGTGATTCCTCCAAATGACTTGGTTGTGGGGCCCCAGACCCGTTTTGCAGGAATCGAAGTTTATGTGGGCAGTTAGCCTCTAGACCTTCTGGAAGAACCAGAAGGAATATCGAGGATTTTCTCCAGGATTCGCCTGACTTGACAGTTTTTTGCACCATTATAACTGGATAACTAGAAGCTCAACTCTGCAACTCATTATTATTATTTTATTAAAGAGGTTCACAAGAATTGTAAATTGGGACTATAATCTCAAGGACTTCCTACATGGAAATGTCATGGTCTGGAAATTATTTTACTATGATCAAAACAACTGATTCAAAAGAATGATCTGAGATCAATCCGAGTTTGTGAGAACTACTATATTTTTTGGCTTCTACATAAATTAATTTAAAGAAAACATCGAAGGATCTCGAATATTATTCCAGGTTATAACATTACATTTTTTAAAGTTGATTACCTTTTTGAGGTTCAGAATGAGAGATTGAGTTCAAAAGCCTCAAAAAATGTCAGAGGTGAATAGTTTTAATCTGTTTCGCAAGAACTCTCATATCATCTTATTTTGCATTTTCATAAATTGATAACTCCAATGACATCTGTGCCAACAAATATTTTCAACTCAAAAAATCCACAGAAAATTCGAGAACTAATGAATTATAACACTTCCCTAATGGAATCGTCAACAAGGAAAACTACTCACAAACAAAAATATTGTCCCAAAATCTAATGTACACGGTGGATATCAAATAAGAAACGATTATTAGGCATTCTTCCTCCGTTATCAGCGATAAAGGTCAAGAGGACAAGTATAAAGGAGATTCTGGGGGTAATTCTAGTCAGTTGCTAAGCTACGATGGGTCGAGGAGGTCCACTGCGATTGGGCCTAGCCCTTGCACTTGTTTTAGTGGCTCAGGATACTTTAGCTGGTGAGTCAAAAATAAATTTTAGAAATATTAATTATTTAATACGATATTTTTCAAACTTCAAAATTTCATCACATTCCCTTGCTTTTCTCTCATTTCATATAATTTTTCAATTAAATCTGCGGCCATTCGTATATTTCCATTGACCAAAATGTCCTTTTCTCGATTACCCTTTTTTGATTTGAAAAGGAACTCTCATGCAATTGTTATTTTTGAGAAAATACGATTTAATTTGCAAGAAAGTTTGAACTTTCCACGACTTTAAAATAGTTTGTCAAGTATTTGTGAGACATTGCACATAGATATTTTTGAATATTGTTTGAAAAAATCACGTACTTGCCATGAAATTCGAATTTCAAAAATTGTAGCAAATGAAAATCTGCCATAGATTTCCTCAACAAGAAATGGAATTATCAGAATAATTACTGCCGAATTATATTACCATTAAAATTGTGAATCTAGTTTAACTTTCATCATCTCTAAGGGCCATTAAATAATTGTATCAAATGTCAAATGAAGAATTATTTTCGAAAACATATGCAGTGTTCCCAAGATTATGATTGATAAATCAGAAAAATTGTTGATGAAAAGTCTAACTTATACCATATGATACTACTTCAAGGCCCATATGACAAAGTAAAACTGATAATGGTTTCTCAGACACGAAACGTCGAATTCAAAATCCGTGACCGCCATTTTGTGCAACTTGGAAAGTGACAAAGAGAAATTAGTTTTTTTAATGGTATCAACTTAAGTAACATCGGAAATAGATTGAAACGAAATTGGCGAATTTAGACTATTTTCGAACGTCTCCAGAACCAATTTGGAGAATTTTCTGAATTTTCAAATGACATTTCAATAACCTCTTACGGACGGCGATTTTTCTACGCTGGCCCTCCTTATCTTGGATATACAATAAATATATCAATTTTACTGAAGTTTTTTCTCAATACCGAACCGTTATTTCAACATCTCGACACGTGTTTCGATCACCAAGTGATCATCTTCAAGAGGAAGATCAGTTTGATATTCCTTTTGAAGATGATCACTTGGTGATCGAAACACGTGTCGAAGTGTTGAAATAACGGTTTGGTGTTAAGAAAAAACTCCAGTAATATTCATTATTACACCAACAGTTCCATAAAGTACATCACAAGTATACAATATATCATGTATTCATTTATAATAATTCTATTTTCACATACATGTTCTTGAAAAAACATATCAGAAAATGATTTTATTTCTACATAAAATACAAGTGCAGTTCAGAAGTATTTGTCAAAGTTTCAAATTTTAGAATTCATATTTTTCACTTAGTGGCCATTCCATATTGTTCTTTTCCAAACATTGGAAGCGACATGGAATTAATATTTTTTTAATGCAGTGAGTGACCAGAAGTTGGTTGCAATTAATATTTACTAGAAAACCTCAGCAATTTTCACTTATACAACATATAAGGGTTTTAGGCTTACATTTCATAATTGAACTAAAAACTGAAAATCGATGGAAAATTTCAGATTTAGTTTTTCAATTACTACCAAAATGAAAAAAACTACTACATATAAAAATTTATTGTTGAACGTAACTTTAAGTAAAATGGATGTACGCATTTTCCAAAAGACTAGTAATCAAATTTGTTGAACATTTCCGTAAAATACGTTTCATATCATCCGATGAAAAAACTTTAGCCTTCATTAATACAACAGGAAAATCATAAACAATTTTCAAAAGATATTCCTTTTGACCATATGAAAGATATATTTTGCACTTGATTTATTTACGTTTATCTAGGATTACTGTCAGTTTATCAGCTCTCAATAATATTTAAAGAAAAACATCAATATTTTTCTTGGAGAATTTTTATAGCGAGTGTTTCAGCAATAACATTTTTGCCATTACCATAAATTAATTGTTGAAACTAAGACATTATCAGTTGCAAATAAATAATTAACGAATATCTACATGAACTTCATGAACTACACGAAGACCATAAACTTGATAAAATCTATAATTATACTTATTTATCTTTGGATAATTGATTAGTGTTTACCAAAGGAAAATTTACGAAAACATAACAAAAGACTTTCAGGATTGTGATTTTTAGCAAACTTTTTACAAATAAATGATAAATCACTCAATACTTTATATCAGTGTTAACAAACCACGGGAATTATAAAAATTGTTTTTTGTTGAACACAATCAACATTTTTTTTATTTCAACTTCACAACTTGATAAAAATTATAGAATTTCCGCGATAGATTTTATTTGAAGCGCATTTCGCTCCTTGGCAAATTCATCAGTTGGGCTGGTACATCAAACCATTCAACAATGTCTTTTATATAACAGTAGGTTATTTAATGTTTAATTTTGGTAAAGGAGGTAGATTTTGAAAAAACAATTTTGGCTTTCTGCTTCTCCATCTGTATACAAAAATATTGGACATTTCCGAAGGAAAGAAAACAGCAATTGATTTCAAAATAAACTCTCCACAAAGATGTGTAGATCATGCAAATGAGTAACTTTCAGAAACAAAACAACTAGTTTCATATAAACTTTGAATTACAAGAAAGAAAAAATAATTTCGAAACAATTACAATGAAACATTGTCATCCCCAATAGTGGACTTCCTGTCAATTGACTCGAACAATGCGTCCGACTTAAAAAAAAAACCAAACATTTAAATGTGGAGTTCCCCAAGGCTCGTTTCTGGGGCCTCTTTCATTCATAATCTATATAAATGATCTTTTCCTTCATGTCACCTCATAATTGTTTTGCTTTCGCCGATGATACTACTCTTACGGCATCCGAAAAAATCAAGGGTGATCTGGTGCGCGATATAAATCAAATTCAAAAGAATGCTGACATATGGTTCAAAAGGAATAATCTAATGTTAAACGAAAATAAAAACTCAACACATTTACATTTTTACATCAAACTCCTCTTGGGTTGAAGGACACAGTGTTAAACTCTTAGGCATACATCTAGATGATAATTTGAACTAACTGGTTAGAGCACATTGAACAACTTAGCATTAAACTGTCGAAATACACATTTTTTCTTCGAAAATTGAAAGATGTAATCTCTCAAGAGGCGCTATTATCAGCTTACTACGCTTTTTCACTTTCTCACATCTCATATGGAACAATTCTCTGGGGAAGTAGTATTAATGCGAATAGGATATTTATGTTACAAAAAAAGGCCATAAGAATATTATCTGGTGCTGGTTTCTTAGACTCCTGTACTCCTCCTCCTTCTCATGGCAGTACCTTCTATGTATCTGTATCAACTTTTGATAGATATTCATAAAAATGAATCAACATTGAACAGAAATTGAGATTTCCACGATCATGAGACTAGATGATGTGATTTGTTGAGGGCCAGTAGATTTAGACTGAAAAAGTCAAGCAGAAATTCTATCGATGTCAATTCATACAATATTCTACCTCCCCATGTCAAAAAGTTCAATCAATACTTGTTCAAAAAGTATCTGAAAAATCTATTGATTTCAAATTGTGTTTATTCCACTGAGGAGTATATCTAAAGAAACACAAATAAACGGCAAAACAGTAGGTATAATATTCATTCTTGGGTAATAATGTATGTGTGAATATGTGACATATCTTATTTGTATCTCATTTGTATACATTTAAAAGATCAATAAATTATCTAATCTGTCATTAACGATGACACGGCGATGTAAACTCGTCAATGTCAGAAGCCAGTACCTACACTAACAAAGACAACAGAAAAAGTGCGGAGTACACAATAGTCAATTTATAACTCTTGAATGGAACTGCTCAATAATGAATAAATCTTTATTTTTCAGTTAAAAAGCATAGATGTATGAATACATTACAGCAGTAACTGACAAAAATGTCATAATCAATATAGAAATGAATTTAAATGATATGAACTCAGTCATAAGTTATTAATATAAAAGAAGTAAAATATATAATTATATAAATTCATAGAACCGACTCAATTAAAAAAGACACAACAAGAACATATTAGAAAAAGGTTAAAAGTGTCATAGTATGAATGACAACTGTCAGTTGAAATACAACAGCACAAATATAACATTTGAATTGTCAACAAGAAAACATCTTCATAAAATATAGTATTATGTCATACATTCACTAATACTGTAACAGTAATTCTCAATAAGAAATGCTTTGAATCTGGATTTAAAAATAATAATATTTGGAGATATTAAGATATTTAGTCGCTTAAAAGCCTCTCTTGAATTAAAAATGATAAATTTTTGAAAAATATAAGTTTCTTGTAAAAATCCTTAGAATGTTCTTGATCAACTTTCGGTAGACGATACTGAACTAAAGCAAAAATATTTGTATTGAATATGCCGATTTTTCCTTTCAATTATCAAACACTTCAAGTGTAAAACGAATCTACTGAAAATACTTTTTTCACTAACCAGTGGAATTCATTTTGTTAACAATCTAGTACAGCGGTTGTCAAACTATTTTGTGACAGATCCCTTTTGGAAAGCGAAATACTTACCGGGACCCTACAATAAAACAATAGTTTTTGAAAGTGTATTCTTTATTAATAGGAATAATAAAAGTACAATGTAACAGTTACTTATTACCTATTTACATAACAAGTATAATGATAGAAGACATTAGAAAAGGAGAAAATTTAACTAATGGGAGATATGAAACTGTATACCAAACAGGTTCCAAACAGTGCATCATAAGTAAATTTCTCCTCAAAATAATCTTTCATGGAACTATCTTCTATAAGGTCGATAAAACTTTCTTTTAGTTCCAATTCATTTGGTGAGGTTCCGGAAAAAGGATTTCTGATCCAGTCCACTTTTGAATAATCTTCAGAGAAATACTTCTTAAAGCTTTTTTGAAGGTCTTCCAAGTGAACAATGATATCTGCAACCACATCTGGCATTGGAGATATTTCATTCTCTTCAAAAATTGGTAGAGTGGGGAATGCAAATAAATTCTCCTCCTGTATTTGTGAACAAAACAGGACCAACTTTCTCTTGAAGGAGTTTATTTTGTCACTCGATGTGAAAGCTGTTGTGTTTGGTCTCTGAAGTCCCAAGTTCAGTGAGTTGAGTTTGCCAAAAATGTCGGCTAGGTAAGCCAATCTTGACAACCATTCTTCATCAGCAAACAATTTTTTCATGTCATGATTTTTTTCACTTGAAAACATGAAAACTCCTGATCTCAGTACAAGGAGACGGTTCAAAATTTTGCCGCGAGATAACAAACTCACTTCTGTATGCAGGAGTAAAGTTTTGAACTTGCCACCCATTTCTTCACACACCAAGGAGATTAATCTTGTGTTTAGAGCCCTAGCCTTTATGAAGTTAATGACTTTCACAGCATCTGATAGAACGGAGTTAACTTGGAGTGCAAAATAAGTGCATAAGCCAGCTGTTCTTCAATATTATTAGACATATCGTCAATTCGTCTTTTTACTGTGTTATTTAACAGTTGTATTTTTTAATAGTATATTATGCAACGATCATGTAATGATGGTTATTAAGACACGAGCATTAACCGGGATACGAAACGAGCCGTAGACGAGTTTTGTATGGTATATGCGAGTGTATTAATAACCATTACATGAGAGTTGCATACGCTATTTTTTTCTAAACCCGATAAATAATGAAAAACTATAAATATTATATTTGTATTGAACACATTTACAGTAATTAACTCATATTTTTTAAAAAAACAGAAACTTAATGGTATTATCATGGATATATGAAAACTATAAAGATTCTAATTATATTCATATTGAATATAACAACTGTAATTAATCTGATCTTTTAAAAATATTGGAGTCGATGGTATTCCTTCTATATCGCTGTTTTCAGACATTTTGATAATATAGGTAGGTAATATGAAAACTGGCAGTAAAAGCGTCTCACCTATTATGTGAGGCTTTCCATATTTTGCAATTCTTAAACTAGCAAGATATGACTCCTTTATAAAGTTAGTATCAGTATTGACAAACTTCGTCGAACATTGGGTTTCTTTCTTTGAAAAATTAGATTTTCTTTTACAAAATTCAATGGGCTTGCCAATCGAATCAGGGTGCTTGGTATTTTGGTGTCGCATCAGAAAAGAAGCCTTCATGGATTAGTTCAAAAGTGTTTCAAGACATACAACACATTGAGGAATAGGAATGTCACTGGTTTCAGTCCCTGGCTTCACTATAAAACCGCACTGTGAGTAGCTTTCATCGTATTTACGATTGGCCGGTAATTTAGGTTTTTTAGCACAATCCTTTGAAGTGGAAGAGGACGTCAGAAAGCGTTTCGTAGTTCAGTTTTCTTATACGAAATTAGAATTAATAATTACAACACCCACAACGAACCTGTAATGCCAAGTGAAAGTAAAAAAGACCCACAGGTAAAAAAATGAAATACCCTTTGTTCACCAACTGTACTACTATTACTATTACCGTGTTAGGAATCACACGTTAAAAGTTAAGACCTTGATTTTTTTTCGATTCGAGATATGTAACGAACTTTGTGATCCCGTTTCCAAAGGGAATTGCGTATCAGAAACATAAAAAACTGGCATTGTTCGTTTCTGATGACTCAGTTGAATTATTTAACACCATCATTGATTATGAACTTTAATCTTATCCTTAGAACTCGATTGAGTTGGAACTTAATCGATTCGGAGTAGAACCTAAACGTCCATATAAAGTTTCCTCTGCCTTATTTATATTTTTCAACATTGCCTTTGTCTTGTATGGACGTATGAATAACAAACAATCACTCGTAAAATGTGTACCACCTATTATCCACTTGGTCTAATTGAAATAATGACGATTTCCCTTTATCATTAATTTAATAAAATGAGGTATATACAGCATGTCCCGAAATGAAAGATACCACCTGTGCGTGATGGTTGTCCAGAAAACGTTTCAAATTTTCTTCCGATCAGTTACTTTTTTCTATAAGTAAATACAGGGTGGGACACCCCACACGACGCGGTCCCTGTAGAACCATGAAATTTTTCGTGAATTTCTCCATTTCATCATATGTATATTGATTAAGGCCGCAGAAGGAAATTATTTTGGAGTCTACAGGGCGGCTCAAAAAAGTGTGACGTATCAATAATGTGTTTTTTTAACGGAACACCCTGCATTTCGTTACATTTTTGAATAGGCCAGGAAAATTATTATGATTTCATATAAGATACTATGTACCTAACTGTAACCATTCTCGAGTTATTGATTTTTTTATAAAAATGCTAGGTACACTTGGAAACTAAATAACATCGAAATTCATAGAGAGCATCCCTTGGAATTCTGACCAAGAATAAAAGAGGTTTTGGGCTATTGATTTCGATAAAACTCATTTCTCGGTATTATGCAGGATGTTCAAAATTCATTATCACTTTTTCATAATTTCCGACGAAGATAGTTTTATTATTTAGAATAGAACACCCTGTCGTTTTTTGGTCTGAACAATATAATATTCAATTATTTTACCTAGCCTAAATAGTTTTTCAGATATTGGCTCTTTCACATAGTAGTCTTTGTGGTTATCGTTTTGAGGTTCAACTCAATACACCTCGAACTCCACTGTTCAAGAACTCTTTCATTTGGAGAACTGCGTTTTTTGTGGAATAAACTTCCTGATGAACAGTTTCATCTTCCTCTTGAAGATGATCACTTGGTGATCGAAACTCGTGTCGGAGTGTTAAAATAACGGTTTGGTGTTGGGATAGAATTCCAGTAATATTCATCACTACACCAAAAGTTCCAAACAGTCAATAACAAATGGTGGGATCAGCTAAAAAAACGTCCATTCTCAAGTTCATAACGATGAAATAAAAGTAATAAAAAATACATTGTAATTTCTATTTTGTATCATAATTTTTTATATTGTATATTTTTAGTAATTTCAATTATTGAAAAACATTGTATTATAAATAAAATTACTGAAAAATCTTAATACAGCATTGAAAATGAAAAATTAATATCATATGATCCTAAAATTCCACATACACAAAATATGAGGAAAATCATAAAATTTGATATTTGTGTCCTTCGAAAGTTTGGTTCCGAACGAAAATTTCCCTGGGAAAAAAATGTTTTGGCCTTTTAATTCTTCATCTTCATACAAAAAAATGTGGGATTTTTTTAAAAAAAGGAAGAAATCTTTTCAAAATAAACTCTTCAAAAAATTAATATTTCGAAATAAATTTCGAAATATTAATCTCTCCCAACTACCTACTCACTAGGGTGTGGTAAATGTCTGACGAAAAACAACTACTTCCCCGACTGATACCATGCTGGATATTGAATTAAATCCGACAAACATTTATTCAAGATTTTCTCACAAAGACTACTCTCTTATTTTCTTAAACGTATGTATCTCTCCTCGATAGTTTTCACTTTTGATTTCTGTTAAAATAAATATCTCCTAAAGTTATTCCCCTTTCAATTCAAATTTTTTTTATTGTATTGAAAATGAATATTTTTTAATTCACAATTTTTTCCTTTTACAGACGTATGCAGAACGGGATGCAATGGAGGTAAGATAATATTGGTTGGCTAAATTCTTATATTAATTTTTTTTGTGTAATCCTTATAGTTTTAGTAGTGAAATGAGATGAAATCATATTATTAATCCCAGTTTCATTTTGAGAAAGCAGAATTCAATGTAATTGATGAATAGATTCATATTAGTATTTTCACTAAAATATTGTTTTATTCGAAATTAAGAATTTTGTAGTCATACATTGACTAATATACAGACGGTATAAAAATTATTAGATACAAAGGAATATGCAATGAGGCATATGTCCTCTTTTATGAACAGGAGGGAACGAAGCAGCATCTTTGATGTGTGTTTTTTTTTCTTCTTTCCTTTTTTCTTAATAATCTTAGTTCTTTGAAATGATTTGTATTTATAAGAAGATTATATGAATAAAACACAAAAAAAAGGAAAGAAACGATATAACTATATATTATCTGCAACTTTTGGTGACAGAAATAATTAATTTTCAACATAAATATTTTGGGAGTTAATTTACTACAAAAAACCTAGAGCATAATGATTCTCTTCAAATGAAGCACTTCAAATGTCCATTATTTAAAATGAAATAAAATGATAGTTTGATTTAAATTTTAAGCTTGCAATTTGACAAAAATCTATTGTTAAACATGATTTGGAAATTTACTTAAAAAAAATAGTTCAAATTCAAATATTTCTAGAATATTTCAGATTTGAAAAAAAACATTAATGATCTAGTAGATGATGGAGCTAGGATTGTATGTTTACATACAACAACTATTTCATTTGTAACAACAAAAAACTTCACGAAGAATTCTTGAACTTTTTGTGACACACAGTGATATCACTATATTTTCTCTCTTGATTTTTTGCAGCATCGCATAACACTTTCAAATACGCTCAAGGAACAACGTACAAATACAACTATGAGGGGAAAATCGAAATTTCATTATCCTCTGCTGACGGTCAAGTTACAAGCACAGATGTGAAAGCCGTAGTATTATTAACGCAACAAGCGGACTGTAATCAAGTTTTGAGGCTGGAAAATGTTCAAATTTTCGGACCTAATGGAAAGGTAAAGATGTAACCATTTCGATAAAAATCATACCGTATATTCGAATTTTCCACAATTCATTTATCGTTTGTGAAGAAAATCTCAATATTTCGTAATGGGAATATATTTATTCCTCATTTCTCATTTCATCTGCAGTCTGCCATTTTGTCCTCACACAATTGTTTATTTTCATTATTTTTAGTACATATTCTTTTTATTCCGAAGAAATCTATAGATCAATATTATGGTTATCCATTATCACAAACATCATCAAAACAAATTCAATCATCTCATTTTTTATTTTAACAGAGATTAGAGTTTCAAATTCTTGATTGCCCTTTCTATTTATTATTATTGATCAAGATCTTCAAAACTCATTATATACCCTTACTTTTCAGAAATTGGGTACGATCCCTCATGTGGACAAACCAATCAGAATTAATTTCCATGACGGTCACATCGAAGACAGTATTTGCACAGAACCTGGAGACACCCAAAACTCTCTCAACATCAAGAGAGCAATCGCTTCCCTATTCCAAGCAAACCTGAAACAAAGCTACGAAACTGATGTTTTCGGTTTATGTCCCACCGAAATCGTTCAACATCAAGAAGGAAACATTTTGGTCATCCAAAAAAGTCGTCATTTGAACAAATGTGGATACAGAGAACACCTCAGACAGGACTTCTTCTCGACAACGTTCAACCAAAACAGCGAAATCAAATCGAGTCCCATACTTGATGGTGAATACAATGCTAAGCTCAAGGTCAAAAACGGAATCCTGGACCAAGCTACAGCAGTAGAAAACTACCTTTACGTTCCTTTCTCAGTCGGGAAACAGGGCGCTAAGGCTCAAGTCACCAGCAAACTTCAGTTCAAAGGCACCGCCAAAGACACCAAGGCCAACAAATGCAGTGTACCGAAAACAATTCTTTTCGACAACCCCCACTCGGTTCCGACGCCAACCAACAACGTCAATACCATTTTGAATGCGGTGAAAGCTGTTGACAAAAGCATAGATGTGGTTGTTGGGGAACAGACTGCAAAGGAATTCATCAACTTGGTCAAGACTATTAGGTCATCGAAGAAAGCTGATCTCTTATCAGTATATAATCAAGTTAGATCTGGAGCAGGACTCAAGGACAAAGTCGCATGCAAAAAAGCCTTTTTGGATGCTCTACTCCAAGCTGGAACAGGAGAAACTATCGAAGTTGCCGTTACCTTGTTGAAAAATAACGAATTGAACGATGTTGAAAAGTATTTGGTATACATTGGGTTGTCGTTAGTTCGATATGTCAACGAGGCATCTCTTACTTCAGCAGCGGTAAGTAGATAGTTTTTTCTACATTATGGTTTTGAGATTAAACTTGATGGATCATTCTGACCATATTTTGGTTTGTTTGATTGCTTCATTATGATGAGATTCATGTGGACAGCTGGCTAGTTTTCTTCACCATTGTTGGTCAAGTATTCTTCACCCTTCGACTCGAAAAAATAAGCCGGAAGTGATTTTATATTTGCTAAAAATATGCAACTATACCTCTTTGTATTATTTGCCAGCCCGATCTCACTATTTTCCCAGATTCCTCTTCTTGGCACACAAATATCTACACTGGAAAGCATGTTGTTTTCTAGCAGATATACAGTTCCCTTTCTTTCAAGAAACTTGCATTTCATACAATCCCTTTCAAAATAAAATCCAATTCCTCATAAAATTTTTGGTTGTTGAAAATGCTGTTGTCACTACATCAGGCAGTAGACATTGAGACTCTTGAGTATAAAAAAATGTTGAATATCCAAAATAAGTGATGAATTCAAAAAAACGAGCAAGAAAACCACGCCAGTTTCCGTTTGAAACAGTTTATCTCGAAAACGGTTCAAAATGGAAATATACAGGGTATTCCATTTGAAAAAATTGAGTTCCACTCATTTTTTCATGAGATCAAAGTATCTGCATTTTTTGAAGACCCTGTATGAGTCAAATGGAAATATGACTCGGAGTGAAGATCCTCATAGTATCACTCCACTCAATTTAAAATTTGATCGTTTTAGTGCAAGAGAGTTCAAGATTATCAGCATTTATAAAAGTTCATGTTTGGTAAAAAAAATATCGAAATTAATTTATATCTTCTAAACGGTAATAGATAGGTATAGGGAAATGGTATATGAATTTGTTGACAAAGTGATAATGAATCATAATATGATATTATATACGGGGTGTTCCATTTGAAAAATCAAAGAAGCTGCTACTTTATAGTACTCGGACCTAAATTTGAACGTAAAAGCTATTGGATCCAAAGGATTTACTCCAGAGGCCATCATTGAATAGAATGAAACTCACGAATTTTTCTTCAATTTTTCTGAACATTACTACAATTCATTGTAGACTCTGAAGGAATCCAACTAGTTTACTTCAATATATCCCATTATATATCCCAATATATCCCATTAATATATCCCATTTACTATATGCCAATAAATGACGCTTTCTCACATTTCTATAATGCTTCAGTATGGTGTTTTGATGTTTCATGTCCAGTTAAAAATGTTGTTCTAAAAAACAAACCTAACAAAAAGTGGATATCCTCGGATATTATTGAAGAAGGAAAAAGTCTAAGAGAGATGTACTGGTTTCTTGCCACGTACCAGGAAAATGGCGTCCTTTGGGAAAGCGCTATAAAAACAAAATGAGAGCACATAGACATAAAGTTAAATTGGCAAAACAAACATATTACAGGACTAAAATAAGTAAGGCAACTAACAAAACCAAAGAAACATGGAACATAATAAATTATGAATTAGGACGAAAACAGAGTAACCAAAAAAATAATATTACTCTTAGAACCAAAAATTGTCTTACATCTGACACTACTGCGATCATTTCTTCGCAAATGCAGCAGAAATAGCTATGTCAAATCACTTGGGACAGAACATGGTCCTTCCTTGCACCCTCGTAAAGGAAATTAATATCAAGTTTCCATTCAAATCGCCACCCATCACTGAATACGAAATATCAATAACCTTATTTGAAATGAAGAACAAATCATCCTCCGGTATGGATGAAATTTCTATTATTACTATCAAACATATATTTCCCGCTATTATCAAACCACTAACTTTTCTTATAGAACAATCTCTCGTGCAAGGAATCTTTCCTGGTGTTTTAAAAAAGGCACTTGTGATTCCTCTCCACGAAAAAGGTAATTTAAATGAAATTGACAATTACAGGCAAATATCGCTGCTCTGTTCCTTATCCAAATTAATAGAAAAGATAATAGTTTACAGAATAACCGAAAACCTGGAAAGCAACAACATACTCTCAACCTCTCAGCATGGTTTTGTTAAAAAGAGATCCATTGAAACAGCTTCCTACCATCTTCTCGATTACATTTACACTCAGATTGATAATAATAACTACGTCTTATCACTATTCTTTGACCTATCGAAGGCATTCGTAGTATTTCTTTTGAAAAAAATAAGACAATGTAATTTCCCATCTAACGTCATAAATTGGATCAAATCCTACTTGACGGGACGAACTATGTACGTGTCCTGCAATAATGTACTTTCTGATTCTCATGTCGTAAAACTTGGTGTCCCCCAAGGATCTGTTATCGGACCACTACTCTTTCTCTTATATGTTAACGACATGCCTCAACATGTAAAAACGGGTTATGTTAGAATGTTTGCCGATGACACTACCATTACAATATCAGGTTCAACTGTTGAACAACTTCCTTCCAACATCAAGACCGTTATCGATGATTTCAGCTCCTGGTGTCAGAGAAATAAACTAATCATTAACACCTCGAAGTCAGTGGCCGTGAAATTTTACAGGAAATGGCGACCCCACAACGTTATCGAAATTGATGACTTGCAAACGTCCACAGAAGTAAAATTCCTGGGTCATCTTGACGCCAACCTAAATTGGGAAAAATAAATTAATCATGTATGTGTAAATCTAAACAGAGCCTTTTATGCTATATGGCAGATGAAGCCCAGTTTAGATGAAGCAGGCCTCCTAAATTTTTACTACGCAATGGTTAACTCTCGGCTTAGTTTAAATATCATGGCCAAGCCATGATAGATGGAAGAGCAAGAGACTTAAATAGGGTTTTTGTGGCTCAGAAAAGAATCCTGAGAATTATATTTAATTTGAATTTCAGGGATAGTTGCCGGCCTATTTTTATAGAAAAAAAGATTTTAACCCTCATATCCATTTATATTTTTGAATGTGCTATGTTCGCAAGACATAACTTATCGGTTTTTGCGACAAATGGATCTGAACACGAACGTAATACACAGAATGGAGCTTTTTTGAGAATTCCACAACAAAGAACCTCATTATATGAGAACTCCCCACGGTACAATGTAATCAATTGTTATAAGTTACCAAATCAGTTGAAACAAATTACCAATGATAAGGTGAAACAAAATATAAAATCTTTTTACTTAGAAAGTGCTATTATAGTTACCAAGAGTTTATGAACGATAATTCGATAGACACAGATCTTACATGACTTTTACCTTTCAAATGGTTAACAATATTGATTGTTTATTTTTATTTTTATATACAGACACTCAAATTCATATGTACAAATTGACAGATTTTATTTATTTAATTATTTATTTATACATATGTCCGTATATTTTTAGTGTAACAAATTGTAATATGATACTGTAAGGACCTACCATATGCACCTAACGTACCAACAAATGGTTAATAAACTATTATTATTATGATTATCAACGTATTAACTAATTCTTCGTCTTCAGGCACTATTGGATCAACCACATCTATCCTACGAGGCCTATTTGGGTATCGGAAATTTGGCTGGCCGTTTCTGTGGCCAACAATCTTGTGAAAATGTTCCTGCTGTCAATAAACTCAGCCAAAAACTTATCCAAAAACTGGGAACTGGTAAACCTGCCAATAGGCAAGCCGAAAATGACATGGTATATATTCTCAAATCGCTACGAAACTTTGGACACCTCACCGACTCCGGCATACAAAAAATTATAGCTATCGCTCAAAACAAACAAGTACCAAACAGACTGCGAGTTGTTGCTTTAGAAACATATTTGGCAGACGCTTGCAAAGACAAATTGAGAAACAGCGCACTGCACATTTTGCAAGACATTCAGCAAGATTCCGAAGTGAGGATCAAGGCCTACCAAGTTTTGGCACAATGTCCAACCGCCAAGATTGGTACTGCAGTCAAAGCTCTGTTAGAGAAGGAACCTAGCAATCAAGGTAGGCTTCTCAATATCCGGACACGTTTTAATCCTTAACATTCTTTATTTTTTCAGTCGGTGGATATATCGTTTCACACATTCGCAACATCAAGGCCTCTGCGAACCCAGATAAAGATCTAGCTAAACAGCATCTTGGATTCAGTGTGCCAAAGAAATTCCCCATTGACTTCCGCAAATGGTCCTACAATGGAGAATTCTCTTACGCAGTTGACACTCTTGGAATCGCTGCTTCGTCAGAAGCCAACGTAATCTACTCCCAAGACTCTTTCCTACCCAGATCTTCCAGCTTGAATTTGACAGGACAGGTATTCGGCCATACTTTCAACTTCCTAGAAATAAGCACCAGACAAGAAAATCTCGACAAGCTGGTCGAACACTACTTCGGCCCTAAAGGAATCCTCAGTACTTCTTCCGTCGGGGATTTGTTCAATGCTAACGACAAATTGGCTGGCAAATTATGGAAGCGTTTGGAACAGAAACTATCTTCAACTTTGAGATCTAGACGAGATGTGACCAAAGCAGAAATAGATAATATCGGAAAGGCGGTTCAGATTAAAGAAAATGCTCTGAATAAGGACTTGGATCTAGATTTGAGCGTGAAGGCTTTTGGATCTGAAGTATTCTTCACTAACTTGAACATCTATCAGGAAGGACTTACTCCAGAGGCCATTATTGATAAAATTGTCGATAACTTTGCCAAAGGATTGGATAGCCTCAAAAGCTATAAGGTAAGAATGTCAGCAATGAGAAATTTGAGGTACTTAGTTTGAAGCTTTTACTAGTTTCGTGCTGGAGTAGTTACAGGGTTCAAATCATTACCCTATCAAAGGAATAAATTAGTTGATTCGTTTGTTAAAAATTGGAGATCTACTGATTGAGCTCGATTTCTTTTTCCAATTTCAGGAAACTCTTCGTTCCAACATCATCTTCTTAGACGTGGAATTCGATTATCCCACGGGTCTCGGTTTTCCGCTACGTATAGCAGCAGAAGGTACAGCCAATGTCCAAGTTCAGACGGAAGGAGCAGTTGACGTACGTAGTTTGTTAGCGGGAAAAGATACCAATATCCATGTGAAGCTCATTCCAAGCGCTAGCATAGAGGTCACTGGAAGACTTACTTTGGATGCATCCGTGATTGAAAACGGACTCAAAACTGTATCCACTCTATACACCGCTACAGGAGGTGATCTCACCATCAACATTTTCAACGGTGGCAAAGGATACGATGTCAAATTTGGCTTACCAGTACAAGAACAAAAAATATTGGCAGGAAGTCACGAGATTGTTTTCAATAGCAGAGACCAGTCCGGGCACGACACCACTACCTCTTTGAAATTCGCCCAATCTAAAGATTTCTCAATCTGCGTGGACCAGTTGAGCCCATTCATCGGTCTCGCCTTTTGCGCCGAGATGAACGGGCCTAACGTGGCAGGTGAACAGACGCCTATATTGCCATTCCCACTCTCAGGAGATGCCAAATTTTTCGTGAGCATCGAAAACGAGAACCTTAAGGAATTCCATTATAGAACTTCCTACGAACAATTCAAGTCTGGAGAGATACTTTTCGAAGCTATCGGCAAAAATAGAGAAAAACTTCTTGGTTTACAAGTCAGCGCCCAAATTTCACCTGAAATTTTCCTGCTGTCTGTTCTCGATTCTGCCCAGATCAAGGCTCATGCTGAAGGTCGTATCACGAATAACAACCAAGAAAAATCTTTGATGGTTAGGGTAGGACAAAACCAGGTAGAGTGGTATGGAAAAGTTGGAGTCGCTATTTCTGGATCGCCAAACAGAGCTCAATATAGACCGATATTAGAGTACAGACCTCCTGCAGGAAGTCAAGGACAGCTTCCGTTGAAAGTGGATGGCCAAATAGTAGTTGAACAGAATGGCAGGAATAATAAATACGTTTTCGATAACATCAAGGTCACTTTACCAAACAACCAAATTTTAAATTTGAATGGAAATATAGGAGTTGATGAAAACGAAGTATACAGTGATTTGACTTTGTCTGATGGACACCTGTCAGGATCTCTGAAAGGTAAATATGAAATGGGGTACCAATTCTTCCCGTTGAAATCTTCCCGTTTTTTGCTAATGGTCCAATTTTCCTTTTCTCTAAAAAACACCTCATGTTCACTCTTTGTGAAACCGTTGTTACTTGTATTGTATTTGTCAGTGTTAATACTTTTTGTATTTCAATCTTCAAATACTGCTCTTGGTGAACTCGGAACTGATAACAGATTAATTACGGTCCTTCTAAATACATTTCAATTGAAGATATATGTGTAATAGTTTCATTATCTAGCTGTAATACCATTAATCATATACTGACTTCATTAAATAATCTATCTCTTCAACTTTGTTCTCTACTTCCAGGACGTCTACACGTTGATCCCCAACTCGTGAAATTCAACGTCGAAGTCAAAAATTCAATAAACCCTTCGGCCAACTTCAACTTCAAAGGTGAAGTGAAACGACAAGAAGACAACAGCCAATACGACAGCAGCTTCCAACTGATCCACGGCGCCGATCTATCTTCCAAAACCAACATCATCACTCTAGTCAGCAGCGCGTCCCAAAAATACAAGAACCCGCACGATTTTGCGTTTGCCTTCAAAGAAAAACTAAAGTACCCCTTAGTCGGACTGAACTTCGAAGTGGAATACGGAGAAACCCCTAACAGTTTCGATTACGATTTTGATTTCGAATACGGAGACATCAAATTCGGTTCAGAGCTGGAGTTGGAGGTGAACAAGAAAACTGTCGGCGATTACGACGCGGAATTCGAAATCTACGGTCTGGGAAATAAAGTCGCATTCAAAGGAAACAGGCTGGTCCAGGGCGAACAGAGTAAAATCAACCATGAACTAGACGTGAACGGAATGAAAATGGAACTCAAAGGCAATCTCAAACACCACATCCAACCTACGAACTTAGATATCGGTGCTGACTTGACGATTGTCCTTCCTACACACCCCACTCCATTCAAGGTTAACAGTGGTTGTAAATGGAACCCCAGCGAAATCGACGCACATCACAAAGTCACAAGTGGCAGCAACGTGATCATCGACACTTTCTTGAAGGCGAACAAGAATGGAAATGCCAATGGAAACGTCAAAGTGAACATCAAGAATATACTTGTCGTGAACGGTCAACTGAAATCGATCAAGGGTAAAGGAAATGCCAATATCCTGATTGATGCTCAAAGCGTTAAGAAACAAGTCAAATTGGAGTCGACGTTCCAAATCCTTCCAGAACACACCTTCATCGTCGATGTCACCTTGTACCCAACTTTCAACAAAGACAAAAGCCAAAAAATCATCTTGTCCACCCATAATAAATTATCCCTAACTAGCATCGATTCTAAGAACAGCGTGGTTGTTCTCGGTAAAAAATTGGAAGCCAACCTGAAAGCAAGCAACGTTTGGGATAACCAAAACGAAAAACTGAACGGTGAAATTGAACTTATCCTACCCAACGACCAGTATGTACTTGGTAAGGTACATCGAGATGCCAAGCGGGTCAACGAGGTCCTCAACGGCCAAGCTCAGGCTAGTTTGGAATACAGAAAGAACAAAAATGCTGCGGGCCGCAAAGTTAGCATCAAGTCGACTTACGTGAACACAAATCTGGTGGAGGCTGTGTACGATGTAACCTATAACATAGCTGCAGATGACAGTAATGGCAAGAACATCAACGCTGATCTCGTCTTCAAGTCTAAGAAAGAAGGAGAACAGAGAGTGGTGGAAGGCGAAGTAAGTTCCTATGTATTTTGTTTACAGTATAACCTCAGGGTTCAATTTCACCACATCAATTAGTTCTAAATCAAGTCAAACAAATTATAACTTCAATTTGTTCCTTTGGACTCTCTATCTCTATGTTCAATAAGTGAATACCTACTGCTCGACCAATGTCGAAGAATTCTGTCACAAGGAAGTCACTGATAGTGGCTCCCAACACGAACAGTGATGACTCTGGTGATAGTAGGTTCTTCTTTTGAGATTTTTTGACCAGTGAAGCAAATACTCTATCTTTAAGAGAAGCTCAATGGATTCACTACGGGTTTCTTCATTAATGTCTCTTCAATGACTTTATTTAGTTGCTCAGTTTCATCTCATAACCAACGTGGGTGAAGTTTCGAACAAATTCGTAGTATGAAGCTTAGTGTCAACTGCAAAGACAATCCTTCAACCAAAACCTAGACATGCCACCTTCAGTTAAGAATGTTTCGAAGTCCACTACAAGTGAAAAGCTCCATTTTTCGACATAGACACACATGTTGATCAAGCTACATCTTCGTTGATTCAATTTTTGTTATTCTTATTAAGTGAATGTAGCTCATTACATTCAGAAGTTTGTACAAAAAGTTAGAAAACTTGTAGAAATCAGATATCAGTTCCAATTTTGAGTACAATCGGTGGAATATCGTTAGGTTTTTGGCCTATTTCGTTTAGACTATTTTTGAAAAGAATAAATAAGTACTATCTATGGGATTGACTTCCTGAATAGTTCAAGGTTGAACTGCATTATAAATATTTCTGGAGAAAGGATATTTGAGTCAAATAAGTTGGTGGATACTTGATGAAAATCCATGGCGTAATTGAAGAAGGAACAAGGAATTCCTGTACAACAATTGATTGTGAGAGGTTCAACAACTCGGTTAAAGAAACTGCAACGTATACCATACCTTCTTCACAAGCTAGTACTTCTTCTTAATACATCAAACACTACTCTTATACTGTAAGGAAACTTATTTTTTGGTATTTGGAACTATTTTGTGTAAATCTCATAAGAGAGAATAGTTGTTTTGAGGTAACAGCTTTTGTCTAGTTTTTATTAAACCTGTTGTTCTGTTATTTCCTTTTGCCATGAGGTGTGCGAAACTTTAAGGAAAACAGCATTACTTTGAAGATGATTTTTTCAGTTGATTGGGACAAAATCGTATTTTTCCACAAAAAAATTCGGTAACAAACAACCGTAGAACATTGCTGGGGGGAAGGGTGGAAGTGGAATGGAATAATGCAACTTTATTATAACATTACCACCTGCAACTTTTTTATTTCAATGTAAAATCAATGTAATCCCTTTAAGAGGGACAGTAATCAATGAACAAATACTGTTCACTGACACCCAGTATAACCTATCAACACTATCCGTATACTTAACAAATATGTCTTGTGTTTTAGACTAAGATATACGGATCCATTCTCAAAAATACCGCTGAGGCTAGCTGGTTTGGTAAATATACTCAGATGACCGGAGAGTACAAATACAAAAATTCGTATGGGCCACAATTCAATTTGGATGCATCAGGTTTGTCTTTCGTTACCTTTAGCTTTGTCAGACGAAATTGTCATGTTATCATAGTGTCCATTATATTAATTTTCAATGGTGTTTCAGGTAAATACAATGTTGAAAACAATGGAAAACCTTTCACTGGCGCTATATCTTTCGATGTAATAACACCAAGCAAGGAAATCAGGAAACTGAAATGGGAATCGGTTGGATTGCTCCAGATACCTAAAGATTCGTCCCAAACTTTTGTAGTAGAAGCATCTTCAGGTCTCTTCGTCGATGATGATGGTGTAAGTAGCTGATTCAAATTTGATATTTGTGGGAAAACTAAAAGGGTCATAAGAGCTAGATGATATTGATGATGATGAGCAAGAATTAGTTTTGAAGCCACTACTTCTTAATATAAAACTTACTAACATTGCATTCAGAAAAATTATGCTGATATAGTCCAGTCATTATAGTAAGTTCACCTCGGAATTCGAGATACCCAGCTGTAAGTCTGTAAATACTTGTATATTGACACCCTAAAAGTTGTCTCAAAACCTACATATGGTAGGGTGTAAGCAACTATTAAATTTCAATGTCAAAGGTCACAAAAATCGGTTTTTTGCGCTTTTTTTGGAAATATCTCATTTCCTATGGGTTTTTTGCTATTTGTATTCCTTATCAATATTGTAGAATACAAAATTCTCTGCAAATTTTGTTTGAAAAAATTTTTTATACGGTGAACCGTTTTCGAGATAGAGGGCGGAGAACACGCGGTCACAGCATCACTTCAGGTCAACCGGTGCCTCCGGTCGAAAACGCGCCATATATAGTTGATGAACTATCGATAAATCAATGATTATAAATATTTGTCAATTTTTATTAACTATTATATTATATTTCATCATTTTTTTCCTAACTTATCCACTTTTAACGCAGTATTAATTTATTTAACAAAACTTACCTGCCCATGTAATTGCAGAATTGTTAATGAAAATATAGGAATTATATTTGAATTTTAACCTAATTAATATTTATAACTTCTTACATGATGAAAAAAAAACAAATAAATTATGAATTAATCTTTTTATTAAAAAATATCATTGAATACATTTATTTTTATTGAAAGTAAAGAAATGGAATAAAGGGTAAAAAACTACAATTTATAATTTCAATCATCTTCTTCCTCTTCATCGTCGTCTTCTGGCTGCAGGCAAATTTCAAACTGGTCTTCATTATCGTCTTCAACGACATTTGTCTCAAGTTCTTCCATGATTTCGGGGTCAAAAGTTCCATCTTCGTTAATGTCGCTCTGATATGGTAGAGCATTGAGACAAGCTTGCCCATTACATTGGCCACAAGCTAAAGAGCATTGCAAGCCCGCTTTCCTGCATCCGCATCGCGAACCACAACCACTCTTGCAGTTGCAGAAAATTGTATTTAGCAAATCTTCTGGAGCAGGTGGTAAAATTGTCATGATAGGCTCCAGAAAATCGTTTCGCATTGCCCAACCCCATACCTGGGGTTCCAAATCATGTCCTAACCAAGTTTGAACTTGATAATTTACACGGTTGAAATGTTGATGAGCAGCTGCACTTGTTGGTGGAATATTTGAAAGCTGCACAGGTTTATTAAGTTTTGTAGACTTGACGTAATGCATATAACGAAGATGATCGAGACTTTTCACAGATTTCGGAGCATTATAGACTGCCAATAAGGTTTGAGTCCCACTCTCTAATAATCTCTGGGCCGAACAATTTTCTTCCTCAAATGCTACAGCTAGTTCATCCAAATTTGTCAGTTTCTCAAAAACTTTTAAAAATGATTTTTTCCCTTTTTAAAAAGCGCAGAAGTTGTGTCACAGCCACTTAATGTTTTTCTCTTAATTATTTTTTAATTTTAGTAAACGGTTATCAGTATTATTGAATAGATATAGATTTAATGCATGAAGAAAATGATAAAATATAATACAATAGTTAATAAAAATCGACAAATATTTATAATTATTGATTTACTGATATTTCATCAACTATATATGGCGCGTTTTCGACCGGAGGCACCGGTTGACCTGAAGTGATGCTGTGACCGCGCGCTCTCCGCCCTCTATCTCGAAAACGGTTCACCGTATAAAAAATTTTTTTTAACAAAATTTGTAGAGAATTTTGTATTCTACAATATTGATAATAAATACAAATAGCAAAAAACCCATAGGATATGAGATATTTCCAAAAAAAGCGCAAAAAACCGATTTTTATGACCTTTGACTTGAAATTTAATAGTTGCTTACACCCTACCATATGTAGGTTTTAAGACAACTTTTAGGGTGTCAATATACAAGTATTTACAGACTTACAGCTGGGTATCTTGAATTCCGAGATTCTTACCTAATTTAAGCTTAAATGACTGGATTAATATAGAAAATGATTCCAAAAAAAAACAAAAGAAAACGTCAACTGAATGAAACATATACCCATTTGTGCTTACATCTTCAGAAATCTATTTGCATGTCCGATTCCAATGAAAAAATTTAATGTAAGTGAAATCCAATTTGTTCCAGACTGTTCCTGATCCTATTATTGATTATAAAGGTGAAGGTCAAATTAAGGCCAGTGACAAAGATGCAGAACTAAAGGTGGGCACTCAAATATCATCAAATATATCGGATATAACCAAGTTAATGCATTTCTAGGGAAGCATCAGTTACGGAAAATACGAACCTATTTCTGGAGCGGCAGCTTACAGCTACAAGACTGAAGGGGAAAAGAAGCAAGTCAACGGAAACGTTGCTGTACAATACGGCAAAGACAAAAACTTCAAAGCTGAGGGATCACTGATCAGACCAAACAAGAACGAATACAAAATAAATACAGAAATCAACACCCCGTACGACGGATACAAAAAAACAATTATTAATGTGGACACCAAAACGTCAGACGACCACAAACATGTCACTAGTCAAACTACGGTGAACCACGATGGCAAACTGTGGACTTTGGATAGTGAAATCCGTGCTTCAGATATATCTCCCCTGATTGACATCAAAGTGAAGGACCCCGAAGGCAAGAAGGTCCAGTACTACTTGAAAGTAGATAAACATGCTGACAGAGAGTCTAAGGGAGAAAGTAAATTCCTGTGTGAAAGAAGCGACTTCCTCTTCGAACAAAATTGGGACGTGAATGTGAACAACATCGAGAACTTCTTCATTAAATGGTACGGCAACTCTCCCAATTACCACCTCAACAAGGTCTTGTTCGAAGCCCAAAACAAACCAGGAAAGACCGGTAAAAGAATACAATTCACAATCACTTCTGCTGGAAAGAACATCGTTTCTGGAAGCACCAACTACCAAGCGCGTGATGAACACGGAAAATATGTCGTTGAAGGATCAGGGTCTGTGAAAATTAAGGATGCAACCAAGCCGCTGAGTTTCAAGTATATCTGTCACCAATTATCTTTGCAAAAGGATGGCGAACAAGGAATCGACGTTTCACTCGATGCTTCTGTAGGAAATATGGCGATTGACTCAGAATTCAAAACAACTAATAAGCAGTTCAGGTATCTGTCCTCTTACTGCGAGACGAATAAGGAGTGCACTCATGTGGAAATCGATTCAAAGGTCAACAGTAACGGTAAGTTAGACATCACATCTTTAAACTGTTGGCAAGTTACATATTCTCTTTTCCACACAGATAAATCTGGCAACATGCTTTATATCACCTACTTTGTTTTACGAAAAACAATGATGAGATTGTGTCTCTTAAAGTTTATCTTCTTTTTGGAAACAAAATTCCTACACAATATAGTAAATTAATGAGGTTAAATTTCACTCACATGGACCACTGTCATCCTCACTGATAGACAACCGGTGTTTCTCTCTTCAGTTCCAAATCTGGATAAAATTACAAGAAGAAACACTTAATTCATTCATAAAATTTTGACGGAATGTCACGAAATGAATTCGATCTAGTAATGTCATTGATGACAGGACGTAGTGACATTCATTCGCTTATTTGATCAAATCCCAGCCATAGGAATGTTGTTTGAGAATGGTAAAAAAGAATGATATTAAAAATGTTTTTCACTAGTTATCACTGGAGATTTTCCTCAATAAACGAATCATTGATAAATTGATTGATTTTCTAAAAATATACTGCTCAGAAATCAAAATATTGTAGACAAATTGATTTTGAAATATACAGAAGAATCTCACTAATCCGGCACTATACCAGAGGATGTCGGATTATTGGAATATTCGGATTACTAGATTATAGAGAAAATCAAAATAAGAAAAATAAAGCATTTCATAAAGAGAATGTATTGTTACGTTTCTACCCGTCGGGGGTTCACCAATAATTGACTACACCGAACAATAATACAACAAACACTTCAACTAAAAATTTCAACTATTATTTGAACCGCCTTACTAGATCACTTCGCGTACCGCACTGTAACGTCCACTTCACTGTGTACTTGACTGTCCGAATACGCTTGCAGCCAGCGTTTAAATATCGCAATGGAACATCGTAGAATTTCGCCGAAGTTCCATCGACATCGGCAGCATGTTTCTTGCTGCTTCTCGAGCGGCTGGTAACATTGGCATTCCCGCGCTCTTAGCTACGTCACGTTTGGTTTATGGTTACCAGTGGCGGTCAGCGTTACTTTCTTTCGGGCATGATTTATAACAGTATGTATCTATAACATATTTGTGTTCTTGTCAAAACAACAGATGAATACGTAGCACGTGCACGTGTTAAGTTTTGAGGTTAGACTGCTAGGCGACTCGGCGACGGAGCGAATAGGCGTAGAGGGGCAAGGAAGCCGCGGGCGGAGGCTGCTGGGTTATTGAACGTATCGGTCGGATTAGTGATATTCTGCTTTGTACTATTGAAAACTTCAAACATTGTAACCAAATTTATCTTATTCTTTCAGAAACATTGATTTTTTTTCAATGTGAATTCAAATTCAAATATTGCTCTATATTAAAAACACCAGAGTCCGTTTACCGAGCAGATGGAAAGTTTGATAGGATGTAGAAACTTGCAAACAAAAATCACGAGCATATCACGCTCTTATACAACTCCATCTTTTCGGTGAACAGACTATAGTATCATAACCTCCAATTCTACTATTGAAATCCATTTCAGAAATTGATAACTACAACCATGTCCTGGAAATCAGCTTGGATTTCCGCAAACTAGGCATTCCCCATGAATTTGGGCTCAAATCAGTCACCGACCTGAAAAATCATTTTCTTGATCACACCGTCGATGTTCATTTCCAAGGCAAGGAGAACAAAAAATACCAGTACAAAATATACCTGCAGCAGAAAGAGGCAGTAATATCATACACTACTCCAAAGAGAGTCGTGTCCTTGGAAGCCATCGCAGATTTCCCCAAGGATATTCTCAGGGATGGAAAATACCAAGGAGAAGTCGCGTTTTACTTTGACAAAAAGAATCAGCCAAACAACAAAGCGGGAATCAGCGCATGGTTGAATTTCAATAAACAAGCAGGAACCGTCAACGGAGAATCCAAATTTGTATATCCAGGTGTACGGGTGAGTTTCAACATACGAGTATATACATATTCATATACCTACATCGACATAGAAAACCAGTTTCTTTTTCCACATTTTTTTTAAATAGTACAAAGACGAGTCGATATTATTACGTTTTCCACGTGGGTTTGACAATAATTGACTATGCTAAACAATGATCAAATTCAACTTTATTTCACTTTTATTACACCAAACACTTCAACCAAAACTTAAAACTAATAGTCAAATGTACATCGCCTTATTTGAATTCACTTCGCACCGCACTGCCGCTTGACTTGACTTGTTGATATGGGCGTGGGTAGCGTTTATATATGGTAACCAAATTCACAAAAGGAATTTGCCAGAAATCTATTGAAGCTGGTGGAATTATTCCCGAAGCGACGCGAACTTGGCCACGTCACAATTGATTTACGACGACCAGTGGCGGCCGGCTTCATTTTTTTTATCAGGGGATGATTCACAACAATATCTTTCATTATTAAAGAATTGAAGACTAGTGCAGACTAGATGTGTAACCGAACGTTCTTGAAAATTTTTCATATAAAGATTCAAGCTTTAGGATGGCCATAGTTAAACTATTTTAATTTAGATAGTTTATGCGAGACATAATCATATTCCCTATTTCAGTGAAAGACACAAGTTGTTTATTCGTAAATAAAGAGGTTTCAAGGTAAAAAAAGATTTCTGGTGAAGTTGATTTGCATGCGAATTAATCATATGAGTTTCGATATTATTTTATGGAATGTTTTACTGGTCTCATATTGAATATTACTGAAGTTTTTTCCCAACACCAAAACGTTATTTCAACACCTCGACAAGTGTTTCGATCCCCAAGTGATAATCTTCAAGAGAAAGATTGAACTCTTCCTTTTAATCTTCATCTTGAAGATGATCACTTGGTGATCGAAACACGTGTCGAGGTGTTAAAATAACGGTTGGTTCATATTGATGAATGACAAATTCTTGTTGGTCGAATTTTTATTTAATTTTTTCTTCACAGGCCCTCTCTACATCGATCAAATCCCAAGTAATCGGTGATTTAGCAGGCAAAGGCGAAGTAATTGTGAACGTCGTATTGGACGTTTTTGCTAAACCAGATCAAAAACTGGTCAGTGTGTTGAAATACAATCAAGACATCAAGGGTATGAGCTATAAAAACAGTCTGGAAATCAAAAGTGCTGGTTTAGGTATCGATATAACAGCCAACGACGTAATGGATTACGACAGTAGGACTTACAATGGAATATATGCTCTCGACGTGAAATACAAAGTTGGCAACTCAAAGTACGACAACGTTTTCTTAATGAAAGCAGGAAAAAGCTCTTTCGATTTCTTGATCAAATCACTCAATGTGAACTTACTCAAAATAACCGGAACGATGAACCTCGATAAAGGAGCACAAGTGGTAGATGCAGAAATCTCATCCTACGACAATAAACCTCTCCAAACCCATATAGAACTTAAGAAATTCAACACACTGTTTTACACAATTGGTTTCAAAGGTGAGTGTCATTCATGTTCAATATCAAAACAGTTGCAACATATCAAATAGTTTGCCTCCAAAACTAAAAATATTAAGAAAATTTCTTTTGCGATTTCAAAGGTTGTTTTTTTTTTCGCTAATCTTGTTACTGTCAAGATCTATAGGAGAAGAAAAAGTATTCTGAATATTGTTATTGTAACATAACATGACAGTAATATTATTTTTTACATTTTTTTAGATACTCCCAAAGAAAAATTACAGTTCAGTGTCGCTTTCATTCCCGGACAAATCGCCGACATACGCGCTGATCACGTCACTGCTAGCGGGAAAGTCAACCTTTATCAGGCCAATGTGAAACTGGCCGAGGCCGAATTCCTCAAACCCGATTACAGCATCAACTCGAAGGAGATCGAAAAGACCCTTGAACAGAGCAAACAGAGATACGCCCATTTCCTGACCGGTCTTCAACACGTCGGGGAGGAATTCTCCAACGATATCCGCAAAGAAATCCACCAACTACAAGAAATCTCCAAGAGGGCAACTCCGAATTTCGCACCCTTCAAGCAACACTGCGTTTCAGAGCTACAGAAGATCAAGAACGAAATTCTTCAAGACAAAGCTATCAAAGATATCGCAGAACTATTCGAGAAGGTATTCGGAACTTTGGCTCGATCAGCGGCTGATCTGTTTGTCAAATTTAGCGAGCTCCTCGAAGAATTGGGGAAGACGTTACAAACCACCTACGACGCTCTAGCCAAAATCGTGGAGCGAGATCTCATACCAGCAGTTGATGAGTTTGTGAAGAAACTGATAGCGATCGTCGGTGATATCACAGGTGCCGGAATCGAAATCGTTTCCGGATATATAGCAACGGTTAGCGAAATCATGGAGAAATATCAGCCGGAAATCAAACAGTTGGCCGCCATTTTCAGTGAATTGAGCCACAACGTAGCCAGATTTATTCAGAAATCTTACGACGAGGTCAGAAAAATATTCACCGAACTAACCAAGAAGATTTACGATGAACTCAAGGCTTTACCTGTGTTCGAAGAACTCCAGGCTCAGTATGAAGACGTAAGTACTACGATTATTTACACTGTTTATATTGAACTCTATAAATGCTTTTTTTTATTGTAGTTCATCAAGAATGGACTTCCAAGCAAAGAAGGCATCGTTACCACATTGGAAGAAATTGCAGCTACCATCAAAGACTTCTTAGCACCAAATGAGTTTATCCCCGAAGAAGTGACAGCTATAATTGACTTGACTGTTAATTATCTATCCAAGGTAATTTTCATCATCGTCGTTGTCATTATCAATATCTATTCATCAACGAAATCAAGTAGCATTAGTAGTTTCAATTCTCTTTCACGGTTTATAAGAATACTTTGACAATTACCCTTTACTTTCAGTTGTCGTAGCACCAGCTGTGATTTTATCTCTTTGAGTACTGTTTGACTATTTGTGGTTCATTACTTTAATCACGAATTTTCCTGTAATCAACCCCGGACCATCACTAAAATTCTATTATTGAATGCTTCATACTTTTCTTCGCCACAGAATGAATTCTGAGTACTGGATAATGTTTACGATTGGACCGAGTCGACTGGAACTGTGCTGATTACTTCATTATGTATAATACTGGTTTAATCACATACTGGATTGAACAAAATTTGAAAACTCTGTATTCATAGATGAACTCCTCCTCCTGTGTTTCAGTTTCTCAGTTATCGCGATCCTTCTTCAGTCTGGATTGACTCCTTGAACTCCTTGACAAAGGGGACTCGTTCATACATGAGAACAATGCTCCAAAGAAGTTCTGATCTGAGCTTTATAAAGCATCAAAAGTTGCTGAAGTGTGTACAGTTTTCTGGTTCGGAACAGTGTTCCCAGCTTTCTAGAAGCAGCCTTTGCAATTCCAGCGACATGATTGTGCCCAGACATATTAGTGTCCACTTTAACCCCCAACAAACTTATCGAAGCAGAAAGCGAAATTGTCTGACCTGACTGGTCAGACTGGTCTATAGTTATTTGGAAGACATATATAAACGCCTTGTTTGCTCATTGTTTATCATCGACGTATTTTCATTGGGACAGAGTTTTCTTTGAGCAGTTGAGTCCTGTGGTGGCAAAGGCAACATGCCTTAGAGCAATATGCCATAAAACAATATTGCTGGCGATGCTACGTTTTTGCTGGTATGGCAGCACGGTGAAGAGCAACTGGACGTATTTCTTTCGTATCTAAACCCCCTTAACCCAAACATCCATTTCAAAATGGAACTATTCACAAAACCAATACACACAGAAAGCTCACTGAAAGAAAACTCTAACCGCCAACCGGTTAGAGGCCAATATTCAGGTCAACGAAAACCTTTAGAGAGAGTCTAAGGTTGTCTCAGGCCCCCAAAGGCTCTTTAGCAACACCGGGAGTTGAGCAAAACCCTTGTAGCTGGGGAACGGTCTGCAGTGAAAATAGATGTGTGAGTACATAAGTGCCTGAAATACAAAAACAATTTCAACCGGAAGCAAATAGGAATTACCATTAATAAAAATTGGATACCTGCACTTAACTGCTTAGGTCAGTCATTTCAACCATTAGGAACGAAGCCACACTCCTCACTGATGAAATAAAACCGGAGTATCTGCCAAAAACTTTCTTTCCGACATATTAATCACTCCTAAAAATATAACCCCTTCAATTTAGTATTAACATATTTTTATGTATTCTTCACTGATGATCCGTCGTGTCTTTACACGGGTGCAATTCAGATTTGTATATAGCTTTTCATATCCGCCATTAGTTTTGAACAAAAGATCTGACTCGACTTTACTTTTTTTCCAGAAAGTCAGACAAGAACCAGTTGATGACTTTGCTGTGCTTGACCAGTTGATCACCCTAAATGTCGCCTTGATCAAGAAAGTTCTCAACGAATTTTCATCTCCTACATATGATATTAAACAAGCCGACTTTGGACCAGTATCTTTCGACTTCTTCCAGAAACTGCCCAAATTGGTAGCAATCAAATTCTCGCCTCTTTCCTACTTGTTGACGGAAGACACTTCAGAAGAAGCATTCGATTTCTTATTATCTTTGGTGAACCATCCACGACACTGGTTTGCTCCATTCCCAAGTAAGTTTCACTTGAAACATTCGAACAGTTACTGGAATCAAAATATATTTTCAGTGGCCTCATATCAAGTTTCAAGACTGAAAAAAACTCTAGTATGATTTCTAAATGTATTCTTCATTTATACTTTTGTTACAGTGTTTGGAGTAGTCCTTCAAGGCCGTCACATTTTCACTTTCGATGGAAAATACTTGACATTCCCTGGAAATTGCAAATATTTACTAGCACGAGATGCTGCACATGGAAACTTCACTATCATTGGTTCATATAAGGATGGCAGATTAGCTGCCCTCACTTTGGCTGACAAACATGACTTCATCACTATCAAGAACAATGGACAGGTTCTCCTGAATAATGGTAAGTTATTTGCTGTTAGAGGAAAGAAAAGGAATGGCAATGTATGAAGGTCTGAATACCTCATGTTTTGCCTCGGCATATACCACAGTTGCTGTTGGTGTAACATTATCATATATGTATTTCAGTTGCGACTGAATATCCTGCACGCAAACCAGAACTAAGCGCCTGGAGAACTTACGAAATGATCAACATCAAATCTACCGCAGGAGTGAAAATAGAATGTACTCCGGATCTGGGAGGTTGTGGGTTCTACATTAATGGATTCTACCATTCCCAGGTGAAGGGTCTTTTAGGAAACGGCAACAACGAACCATATGACGACTTCACAATTCCCAACGGCAAGATTGTCACGGCAGAAAGTGAATTCGGAAACTCCTACAAGATTGGAAACTGCCAACCGGTATGAAGGTGGTTTGAACATAGAGGAAAGTTTTTAATAAATGTCACACATTTCAGGTTACCGTTCCGAAAAATGATATTTCCCAAGAAAATCCAATTTGTAACAAACTATTCGGCTGGGAATCATCGATGAGTCCTTGCTTCCCATTCGTGAAAACTGACAATTTCAAGATAGCTTGTGCACATGGACTGGCAGCCAACATTGAACGCACAGAAATGGCAATTGCTTCTGCTTATGTGGGTACTTGCCACGAACATAATATACCAATCTCCATTCCGTCACATTTGTGTAAGTTTCCATCTGAATCAAGTTTTTGATATGGCGAATCAATGTATTGTTTCAATGGCCTATGAAAATCTTCCTCTTGAAGATGATCACTTGGTGATCGAAACACGTGTCGAGGTGTTGAAAACAAAGGTTTGGTGTTGGAATTAAACTCCAGTAATATTCAATATTACACCAAAGGTTTCAAACAGTGCATCACAAGTACCAATGAAAAGTTTCAAACGTATAATAATAACAATAATTAACTGTCTTGAACAAATTTATTTCCAACAATACTTCAATAATCATTAACTAATTTATTTATTACAACACTTAGCAACTAACGCTTAATTTATTTCCACTATTTGAATTTCTTGTTTAGCCGCTCGATTCACTTTCTGAACTGCCCTCTTGAGCCGGGAAGACGGCTTATATCGGGACACCGATGTTCCCTTATACTCCGGAGTTTACTGAATCCGTTGTGGGGAATGCAGAGTTTATTAAAACTAGTCATTCCTCATCCAATTTCGGTGATTATTTCTGTAATTTTTTGGGAAGATTCACATTTGAATGTCCAATTTTGTATTATAAACCATAAACATCTACTGGATTTGATTTTTTCTGTTCTGAAAAGAATGTTATGTTCTTTTGAAAAATACTGTTAAAAGTAGAAAAAACCCAGAAATTTTCATTTCCCTTTTCATTATGATCTCCTACCACGTAGACGTGATTTATGAATCTAATTATATTTGATATTTGTCAGTTCTAATATCATTGTATCATCCTTATGAACCGAATACGGTTAATGGAGTTCATTGTTCAAATTAACAATTCCATTTGAGTCACTGATCATATTTTTTAGACTATATCGCTTTTTTTAATAAACAACACCTAACGAGTAGATCTCCACAAAGTTTGTGGAGATGAAGTGTTTATGATATCACCATGGATCTTCATCAAGTAACGGCCGAATCAATCAGAAAACTTTTTCGCTTGTTAATATTTTTTTCAAGTATCTGGATATCCAGAAATATAATTCAAAATGTTACTTTTGATTTCAAGTGCAATGTACCAATAGCATGAAACCATTCAACGTGGGGGAAAGATTTAGCGTTAAAGTACCAAACGAGGCAGCAGATATCATCGTTCTCGTCGATACCACCAAATCCAATGAAAAATTGTACACAGAATTGTTGAAACCTTTGCTACAGGATGTTGTCAAAACACTGGCATCCAAAAGTATTAAGTAAGTAGACGTGCATGCTTTAACAATCCTGACTTTCCAGAAAGAAATTGAATATTTCCTACTTCAGACACAGAATACACATTTACAATGAAACCCCTTCACATATGAAGCAAACTAAACTCTCAACACCTTTTTTCTGTTATTCTCTTCGTGTAAACTCTTCTTCTTCGCTACTTGCTTGATAACGTTTATTCATTATTAAGGGTTAGTAGTTTACAATGTTTTTTTAATATTTGTTGTGACCCTGTTATAGGCTTATGCCTCTTCAGTAGTCTTCAGGGTTTCTTCTCTACTCATAACCTTCACTTTTGTATGTTTCGCTTCTCGAAAAGGACCCGCCCCCCCATATGAAACTATAGAAAGAGAAACGAAACTCCACGTCATGTTGTCGTCTTGGTATGTTCCCGTTCTGTGCCGTCCTGTCGCAGTGTGCATGGAACTTAGTTGGGTCTTGTACCTATGTGAACAATAAACTATCGAATCAAATTATATAACCTTTGATAATGAATAATTCACGATGATATTTTATGAGAGAAATAAATGTAGACGTTGCAGATAATAATACATTTCAACTTTTCCTTATTATAGAGAGAAATTAAAACTCCTAATAGAATATTTTTACGACATATTTTGTTTCTCAACATTTCACAAATATTTCACAAACATATTTTTTAGTGATGTACAACTCCAAGTCATAGCCTACGGAGGTGAGAATTTATGGCCCAGTCACGTATCAGTCGGAGGAAAATTGACCTTCTCAGATAAACTGCCGGATCTGAAATTTTCAGAAAAACCAAAACCAAAAGAGGAATTTTCAGAAGGCATTTTCGCAAACATCAAACGCGACTTAGAACCTATTGAAAGGATTATTCATGACATCAAGTTGGCCATTGGCGACACCTTGGAGGGACACACATACAGTGAAGCTTTCAATTATCCATTCCGGGCACATGCAGTTAAATCCATCATCGTCCTCACCAGCAAGCCTTGTGAAGTTGGAAATCTTGAAATTGTGAGTACAGTCAGCATGATTTTTGACATAGTCATTATTCATTTCGAAGTTTTTGCATTTCCGATGTTTTTTCCAAATGGTATTTGCCAAGTATTCACAGATACAACTACGGACATAAATGAAACAATAATCTAGTGGGGACAAATCCCAATGCCCCACAGTGGATGTCTAATTAACTACACTCTGATGGATGAAAAAGCGAACTGTTTTATTGATAGTGAATTTTCAACAAGGATCTAGAATTCAAAAGTTATATCAAGTTTACAACTTAGTCAAAAAAGGGTTGAAATTGGATTGATAGAAATTGTTGATCACAAAGGCAAGTAATGGAAAAACCACTAAAATACAGCAAAAACCACTGAAATATATTCTTTCATCGTGTGGTTAACTCACTTATAATGCTAATGCCAAGACACTTGTGATATCAGATGTCAAAATGTGTTACTCCCGTAATATGAGAAACGATCTTGATTAAATGTGAAAAAATGTTATATTTAATTAAAAAGTGCATACCTGAAAACCGAAAGCTTGGCAATATAACACAATAAAGGTCAATAAACAAGAGCAAACCACACAACAAAAAATTCATTTCACCGGCGAAACAACACGTGGTGTTTATTGTAAATCAATGTCAACAAAACAAATTGTTTTGACTGTGCCAACTGCCATCTATTCAGCAATAGCACAATTAATGTATAGTACAGCGCTCAGGTGGATGTCTCAGGAAGTGAACACAGAACGCGGGAAAATGTCGAGATACTTATTTGAACGTAGTTGTGGTAATCTGTGTAAGTATTTTAAGCGAACAATTTGTCATATTTTCCAGTGTTTCACAATTCTTGATTCAATTCAGTTTTCAGAGTAATGGACAAATTGATTACATTACATAATTACAGAACCTCCGAATGTGAGTCACAACTCTCAACATATAGGTATCTCATTGTTCACAATTCATGCTCCAGAACTGTGATAAGTTTATTAATTGCCCTTGAAATTAGTTTTCTTCTCGGTTGAAAATGTTAATAACTTTCTTACTGGTATACGGTACTGCCATCTTTTAGTGAGAAACTGAACTTATCTATCAGTAAAACAAAACATAAATTCGCGGAGACTTGTTTCAACTTAAATCTTGAACTATTTTTCATGGCCTTGTTGACGATATATAAGAGAGTTCTGGATTCCTTCACAAGAAAATTAAAGAATCTTGTAACAAATGATTATCTTGAAACGGGTTTTATAACTAATGTCATCAACAGTTTATGAAGATCAACTCTTATTGAATGTTACAGCTGCAAAGGCTCAGGACCGTACTCTACAGAAACGACCAAATTTCACTCAATTTGATCACTCCATTCGATTCCTTCAGCGTCAAAGATAAAAAGAAATCGGCCGATGTTGTTGGATTCAACGACCAGAATGTTTTCACCCTCTCTCTCGGCAAAAAGAAACCAGATGGTAACTCTGAGCTGTACAAGGACCTTCACTACCACGACTATTGCGTTGACTTCACTATCAAGGTAGGAACAAATAATAAATCTGGCCGCCTATGGCCTAAAACTTTCTCCGAACTGTTTTAACATACATTTTGCTGTAACCTGTAGCTTACACTATCTATTGTTTTCAGAACCGTGGTAATGTTTTCGTCGCCAACAACTTTGTCAATGCCAAACAAGATGCTAAGAAGCAATATATCCATATAGCAGCACACAATGTTGTCGAAGAGATACTAAATGTTGAAGAAGGTTTGGACTGCGAGTGCAAAAAGGTCGGCCCATACTCCGCCGCAAATGTCTGCAGCGAAGTGTATTCCAAAGAAAGGCCAACAGTAAGTTTTGAGATTATTTAAAACATCGATATGAACATTTTTGTGTAATTTATCATTGACAAATGACAGATTTGAAGTCCTTATTCATTTCAATTATTCAGCAACGCAGCAGTTTTCATTGTTTTTCTAAAGATTGTTGAGCTCTTGATCATCCTTATCTTCAGTGGTAGATGTCTTTGACAAGATTTGAGGTTGGAATAAGTAATCTATGTTCCCGTTTTGTTGGATTAAAATGGCCCGTATGTGAGTGCTGTACTAACCTCCCAGAAAACAATGCCAAAACGCAGATGAAATTCGATTAGTGAACGATAAACCATCTTTGCGTTGGACAGTCCGAGTCCATTGGATATGACATGAACTGCATAACATTTAGATGCTAGTTTGCTTTTGAGAGCCTCAATATGATTATCCAAATATGATTATACATCAATGTGTAACTCCAGGAATTTTGTATGGCGTTTATTCTCAATTGACTCTTCTCCTAGTGAAAAATTTTCAATCTGACCTCTAAAAGTGACAAGATTGGTCTTGAAGACATTGAAAGAAAGCTTATTTGAGTTACACAGTTTTCTAAATACGTTGACAAAATTATGAATCCATTTATTTAAGGACTCTTAATCCGAACTGTGCCATATTATGGTGGGGTCATCAGCGTACAGTGTATCACTAATATACACCAAAAAGAAGAGCGGGCCCAGTATTGAGCCTTGAGGTACGCCAGTCTTCACATAAGTTTTTTCAGAGAATATTGTGGTTTTTACTATATGGCTTCGACCTGATAGGACAATTCCGTCGTGCTGAAGTTTCTGTAACACTACTTCATGATTCACACAGTCAAATGCCTTTTATAAGTCACAAAATACTGCCGCTATCATATCATCATTATTCAACTCTGTGTAGGTATACTTTCTGTAGGAATGAGAAAATGGCATCATTGGTATTTTTGCTGCTTTGAAAGCCAAACTAATTGCTCACAAAAGGATGTTATTTTTTTAAAAAATCCACCATTCTACTTTATTCATGAATATTTTCCAACTCAATTTTAAAAACTTAATTTTTGTTTCAGAAAAAAGGAGGAACTAAATCGTGAGAACACCAACAATTTCATTTGATTAAAATACGTTTTCCTGTTTCCAATGAGACTATAAAATTCAATTATGCTTAATTTAAAGCAATATATTTTTTACATCATGGTATTGTAATTTGTATAAATTATGTTTAAGTACCCACAGAATATAGTGAGGTTAATAAATTTATAAAAAAATAAGGTTTTTGTTTTTCGAACAAGTGGCAGTGATGTTTCCTATTACAGATTCAAAGAATATACTGAGGGACCCAATTATAGAAGTTTGGGGTTATAAGAGTAAAGTTATCAAAAACTGTTTTGCGCAAAATTTATAGATACCAATGGAATTCAACATTTTGACATATAGTATATATCCATCAATTTTTTGACATCGATTTCCAAAGGGTAAATGTTCATTTTGAGGGCGATTTGGAAAAAAATTTTGAGTGTACTTACGTATTTTGATGCGTAGATTACGAATCCGAAAGAAAAAAGCGGCGTTCTCCCTTATTTGCAAAGTCACGGTCCTTCAAAGATCAGAAAAGGGCAGCTTTTCAGCCTTATTTTTCACAAGATAAACTATTTAAAAACACAAGCATTTATTCACTAGGTAACTACACCTTATTCCTCCTTCCTTGGCAGTTTTCACTTCAACAATCAACATTTTTCCAATAAAAATGTTAAAAATTGTACGGAGCTGCTTTTGGGTTATATATCTCTGTATTTTACGTTTTTAAGTTTAATGGCATAGTTGGTACGATTGATGTTGTCAATATCACAGATTTCGATATTCCTAAAGTAATTCGAATGTTTTTTGCCTTCATTCTTTAGATCGTAAATTTGTTTTTGGTGGTGTATTAAGATGATCCACGAATTTGAAATAGTAGACGGCGGCAAATACCTACCAATCGCTTTTTTCTGAAATGTCACTAGGAACTAACCTAGAAATAGAAGAATGTCACCATAAGAAGCATTCGTTTTTTAAATTCAGTTTCTTATACGAAAAATGTTGATTATTGAATTGAAAAGTGTCAGTTAAGGGTGAATAAGGTATAAAGGTGACCTAGTGAATAAATGCTTGTGTTTTTAAATAGTTTCTCGTGTGAAAAAGAAGGCTGAAAAGTTGCCTTTTTCTGAACTTTGAAGGGCCGTAACTTTGTAAATAAGAGAGAGCGCCCTTATTTTCTTTCGGATTCGTAATCTAAGCATCAAAATACGTAAGTACACTCAAACATTTTTTCAAATAAATAACGAATGAGCTTCCAATCATTATATCTCGTGCTGCCATCTATATGAAACAGAATGAAGTATTACAATACAAATGGTAAATATATGCAATTAACAAAGCATATGAAAGTGAGAGTCTTTGTATAAGTAAAGCTCAGAGTAACAAAAGACAATATTACTCTGAGAAGTAAAGCATTGCTAACATTAACATCTTCTGCATCAAACAGAAGTGAAGTACATGAAACTTTTGTGAACTTGCAAAGTGAAGGTGACAGTGTGTAGAATCACCGTTAACTGTATAAGCTTATCTCATTGAAATTTTATAAGAAGTTGCTATCTGGAATTTGTCCTTCATAGTTTCCAACTGAGACCTTAGAGTAGAGCATACCTCAAATGTTTTGAAAAATGGAGTCATCAACCATGTCGAAGACCATAAATAAAAAATTAAAGTTTTGACATTTGTTTTATTATTAGCTTCAGATCTGTAAATCTTAGTGTAGATATAAAAAATCTCTATTTTGAGCAATATAAAACTATATATACACATTACTTTGGAAAATACATACTGCAATACCCCAAGATAATTGGAATATGTACCTTATAATTATGATATCACATTCAGTTTGGTCCCTTTACAAGAAATCTATAATTACAAAAATAATTACACAAAATTCCTCAACAACACAATTTCCTTAATTTCTCCTTATCAGACAACAATTTATTCTTCAAATCTTGCTTTACATTCACTGATTCGTATTTCCTTTCAACGAGGAAATTGTTCGAATAGCTGTGATCAAAATTCGACTCGTAATTCAGTCCTTTGATTGCCTTCTGTCTACTGGGATCGAGATATTTCTTGGCCAAAGATTGGGCTATGAAGTTAGTACCTTCCTCGCAGGATTTTCTCTTGATCTGCAGCTGCTCCTCGAAAGTGTGGTTTTTCACATGTTTCCTCAAGCTACTGGGGTCGGTATATTTTTTCAAACAACCTGTCACTTGGCACGCATATGGTTTCTGAAAGAAGAAAAAACATGAAAAGAACTGTGATTTTCACAACGAACGGTTTAAAAAACTACGACACATGTTTCGTTATACAAAGCTGCCTTGAGCAGAAATGAAATATCACTCATAATTCAAAACCATTTTATACTATATAACCATAATTCAGACCATCTAATCAGATAATTAATTTTAGGATATAGGTATTCAACTAGATATCTCAAAAGAGCAGACACAATAAATACTTCACTAATAAAACAGGTGAAAACATTTCATTTTACCCTTTCAAGTCATCTGGTTTCTCGGTAAAAATTTATACAAATGCTGCGAAGTGGTTTTACTGACATACCACTATTAAATAAGTTGCGTTTTACTGCCATCTATCAGAGAAAAGTGCATTTTGGGTATACTTTTGCTCGTGTTCGAATTATTTGACAGCAAGACGATATAAATACTTTAGTGCTTGAGCCGATTCGCTTTTATTTTGTCAAAATCTGTTCGACAATATAAATGAGATTGATACAACTTTGTACATATGTTGATATACTATAACAACTTTCAATTGAAGGTGACTCATATACAAATTGAACTGAGAGCTAACGGCAACAATGTTAAATGTTAGAACTAAATTCTTACCGGGGTCATTTTTATTGTCTCTGCATTGCCATTGTAAATAATTGAAAAGCAAGATAGCTTCTGCATATCGATAGGATGTATGAGCGAATAGATGTGTTGTTACTTTCTAGCCAAAATGAAACCACGTTTAACACATTTGAAAAATGTGCGTTGAACGGGTTAAGATGTGTTTCAATTGATTTTTTGCTTATATTTCATTAGTATTTCAATGAAAAGTGGATACACGGCATACTTTCATATTATACCTATATACTGACGATTGCAATATTAGTTTCTTAGCATTCATGCTATGATAACGAAAACTGTCTCATCGATTTCGACTTAGATGTTGGAAAAAAATCAAATCATACCGTATCAAAATGTGTCCTTTGATGTTTGGCTCTGTCGGAACTATTAGAAAAACTTTTTGTGCAGCTGGAAAATTGACATAGGTATGGGCGCTCTCCCGTATGGCTTCTTTGATGAATTTTCAAGTTCTCGAGTCTAGAAAAAGCCTTGTTGCATCCCTTGAACTGAAAATAAAAAAATGCAGTTGTATTCAATTCGATTAACGTTGTGTAAACTTTCTGAGTCGGAGGTAACTGTGTCAAAGTTATTTTCCGGGCTTTTTCAGCAGTGTTCTGCAGATATTTATGCCTAACATTCGTCTACCACTGCGGCAGATATTATCAAGGGCGATGAGGCAACAACCCGAGCATTTCGTCCGTTATCACATCGCCTTTGATGTCTACCGCAGTAGTAGACGAACCGTTAGGTATAAAAACCTGAAAACCACAGCAAAGAAACCCAAAAAATAGTGATGTAAATCATGCACGAAAGAAAATAATGCCGGTCGCCACTGGTAACCAGAAACTGAAGGTGAAGTAGCTAAGAGCGCGCGAATGTACGATGATTCCCCGCCACTCGAGAAGCAGCGAGAATAATGCTACCGACTTCGACAGAACTTTGGCGAAATTTCTATGACATTCGATTACGATATTTAAAGGCTAGCCACGAGGATATCGACACAGTAAAGTGGACGTTACAGTGCAGTACGCGAAGTGATCTAGTAAGGCGATAGACATTCAAATAATAGTTGAAATTTCAGTTGAAGTATTTGTGTATTTAAAGTGAAATAAAGTTAAGTTTGATTATTCAGTGTAGTCAATTATCGGTCAACCCACGGGGGGCTGACCAACAATAGTTTTGACACGAACGTTGATTGATTCTAGTAATAAATTAAAAGATTGCACATCTATAAAGAATCCGGTGACTAAGGAGAATGACAAAATAAACATTATATCAATGGGGTAGATGTTGAAAAAGGGTCTGGGTTCCGGATATAATCAATTGAGTGGAAAATTATCAACGGGAAAATGAAGAACTCGCTAGGTATTGAGTATTCGCTTTTGTGAAAAGCTCCTACCACTTTTGAACATTTTTCTAATTCATAGTACAATCACCTTATGCCACTGTCAACATTTCGAGTGTTTTCTAGCATTTGATTCCCATTTGAGATAAAATTTGATGCAAATTCTTTGATTCATTTTTATCGATAGCAGAAAATCTCCGAGCTATCAAACCACTCCTAACTTTTATGCCTCTCACCAACAAACTAAACATACTAAACAGCTGAAACTGTGAACATATATTCGAGACGACTATACCAACATTAAAAAAAAATAAAAAATCGCTACTATAATATACGTGACCCGCGAAATTTGAACATTGTTTTCATATATGGTTATTAATAAAATCTTAGTTTTTCGTCAAAATGGCAAAAATAATGATAGCTTGTACATTTTGTAGAGATTTGAGTGAAACTTATAATATCTGGGCACCCATGGAAGCTCGCTGGGTGTTCTCCCTTGCAGTTAAAGCATCGCAAGGGCGAGTTTTTAGGTCTTTTGCATTCCTTGGTCATGTGTCGTCCGGCACATCTGACGCAGGCTGGAACTGCTTTACAGTTGCGTTGCGTGTGACTGAACATTGCCCAGCTCGGTTTCTCGGCTTCTGTGTTTCGGCGCACGTTTTGAATTTCGGTGATCTCATATATTTTGTTTTGGCTCCTTGGGACCAAAACAAGCACGAACGGTATCGGTACCGTGTTAGCTTTACTCAGGCGGGCTACGGAAAGGATCTCAAATCCTTTGCCCTGGAATTCGGTCCTGCGCGGATGGTTCCGCGCAAAAGTGGAAAGAGTCGGAGTCGATAAGACGATGAACTAGAGGTTTTTTGTTTCTCACATTTAAGTCCATTCTCTTTGCAAATAATTTATATGCTTCCACTAGTTCGGTACTACTTATTTCATAGTTTTCTATAATAGTTGATATTATAGCCAGACTTGCTTCTTTTGGCTTTTTACGAACTTTCGTAAAATTGAAAATCGTTTTTATAACTTGTTCCACCTTGAAAGATAGATGCTACACTTCGAAATTAGCATAACGAAAATTAGTGAAAATTATTCATCATCATTCAAAACTAGCGTGAGGTTGGTTTTGTAACGGAATTTGACATTACGTTAAGTCAGTTGTCAGTTTCTGCTTTATTTTGATTGTTATAGTTTATAAAGTCCTGAAAACTTTTCATCAAATACGTTGTAAGGATGTACAAAATAAAGCTGGATATTTATTACTTGCACAAATCAGATTCTACTTGAGGTTAGAGAAAATTGAAAAGTTTGTTTTTATTGTTGATTTTGACATCTGACACCAATTGGAGCCTCTGGAGACACCCTACATTTTGTTTTATAAGAGAGAGGACATTGTTAGATCAAGATCTTCAGATGATGTGGTGCTACAGGTTTTTCCGGGTTTTCCTGCAGCTGAAAAAGCAAATGCACCACTGAAATCAATGAAGTCGCCCCGGAGCGCCAATTAATTTTTGTTGTTTTATAATTTCATGATTTATACCTTGTTAAAAATATTAATCGTACTAAAGAAAGTAATTGCATCATTCCATTCTGGCGAATCTTATTATTAATGACGTAACTACGAATCACTTTTGAATTCACGCTTAAATACGATTAAACGCCAGAAAACACCTCTTGTCTTCAAAAACAAAAATTGTATCAGGTATCATAATGGGTAAAGGGTTAAATCTACTACTGTACATAATGAAAAGACAATTTACTGTGCCTTTTCCTCTATTACAACTTATGGTTTATGAAAGCTGCATATGAAATTGACTTCGTGACATTAATATTTTCATGGCATATTTGGCTTTCTGAATGATCAGAGGAGTATCTAGGACGTGTAAACATCTGAAACCGAATCTGCTCATGGGTTAAAAAACAGAGTGTACCCGATTAAATGCAGTGTCACTTTTTCACAGTCTACTGAGAATAAAAATAAATATTTTGTAATTATCATGTGTGGTATGGTGCGCGTTTTGTGTTTATTATTTTTCGTGGCATAATATCTTTTAAGTTGCCCCAGGTGGCTGTTGGTAAGCAAAACAAGAAAGATGTTGAGAAATGCCTTGAAATAACAGCAACACGTGTTAGTTGCTGTGTTAGACAAGTTTGAGGTTTTTTTTTTGTTTGTCAATGAACTTTAAAATTTGATACCGCTCCGTAATGGGTAATTTAGCTACGTGGGCAAAAAATCGCGGAAATGACTTTTTATTCATCGCCAAATGCTGCTTTGAAGAATCGGGCAACATATTTAATTGGAGCTATTTTGTCATTCATTTCATGCAGATGATATAATTCACTGAAAGTTCAGAGGTTTTGGGTTACATTTATGGAACTTAAATAGCTGAAATTCAGTTCCAGGAATCATATCAATAATTCCTAAAAACAACTGTAAATTAGGTAAGTATTATTAATACAACATTCAAACCTCACTTTCGAAATAAACTGATAAATTTTTTTCATTAGCATTCGAATGATAGAAATAGTCAACAAAATGATAACAATAATTGTGTGGAAGCTACTTTCCGGGTTTTTTTTCGTTGTCTGCAGGTTATTATGCCTGTTTGAAAAATTTTAATAAAAGATTTAACGTCCTCCAGATTGTTGTGATTGCTGTTTACCAAATATTACGTCCTAAATTTTTTTTAAAGATAAACATGGTTGTGATATTATATATTTATGATGATTATTGACAGTAACTTTTTATTCCGCCAGCCAGAAGCGTATTAAACAATTAATTGAGCACACCTTCATTCATGGTATAACCTAACCTCACTTACCGGACATTTGTTGGGTTTTTCGCCGCTGTGTACTCTCATGTGAATCAAAAGTTTGTATCGAGCATTGAAGGGTTTTGTTTTTCTGGGGCAATCATCCCAGAAACACGTGAATTCCTCACCTGAAAAACGATACAAACATAAGTTCGATTACAGAAATGATATTAACAAACATGTTTCAAATATACGAAAAGAGTTGTACATTTTTTGTGGAATATTGTCCCGAATTTAAAACAAGTACAGTCAATAATCACAGTTTTTACCTCTTTTCAGCTCCACATGGCTTTTTTCGATGTGTTTCACCAGGCTATTCTGTGAATCGTACGTCTTGTAGCAGGTTTCCCACTTGCACTGAAAGCTACTCGAAGTGACCTCTTCAAATTCACCTCCAAAATCGACGTCAACTCTGTTCATGGCCAAATCCCTCTTCTTCCTCGTCGGGAACATTACATTACTGCTCGAACTTAGAAGAGGATCATCATTGAGTAGGGCTTCGCTTTGAGTTAAAACCATCTGGTTATCCTCGTGGATATTGAACAGATTCTCTGTTGTATTGGATCTCTCTTCTAGGAGGTTGTTGGTGGAGATGAAGTTGTTGTTTGGGCACTTGATGCCGATCAAGTGACCGAAATCGCTTTTGATAGATGGGCCCTGAAATAAATTGGAAGGTAGAGAGTTTCTTCTCTCGACAAATTTATATAATAACTAGCTGACCCGGCAAACTTTGTATTGCCACATAAACTATTTCTAGGGTAGAAAATAATAAATAACTCAATGTAAGTATGTGTCAGAACAATAACACAAATTATATTAAACCCTTAATGGTATAGTGTATACTTTATTTTTTGTTAGTCCATTTTCAGCTAACACAAACAAACTTTAGACTCAATAATAGTCATTACAAATGCCAATCTGTTTAGAAATTGCACACGTTTCAAAATGAATTGGTACATCTGTTGGTTTAAAAGGGATTTGTGGTAACAACACATTTTCACCTCGGTACTTGACATTCAAAATACTGACTTCGACAAGGTTTTTCATTGATTTTTTCTAAGACTAATCGTGTGCTGTTGCACAGCCGTGGCGTATTTAAATTACGGAGCGATCCAACCTTATCCCTTATCACTTAGGGGTATGAAATATCTATAAAAACCCATTCTCAAACTTACCAAATATACATATGAATTTTCATGAAAATCGGTTAAGCAGTTTCCGAGGAGTATAGCAACTAACACTGTGACATGAGAATTGTATATATTAGATTAGCAAAAAGTCTGTCAAGGTATAGTGAAAGGATATTTGAGCTTGTTGGATATATTATGGCCAAAATTATAGATACCAAGTAAAACAAGAATACCAAGATAAATAAATGATACTGATCCGGAGCAGTTTGTGAGTAGAGCTATCAATGAAGTTGGTAAAAGCAATATACAACGCAGGCAAATCCCACAAATCCAGCAACAATACACATGCATACCTCACAACAAATGTCATACCCTATGTTACCGGTTTGTCTGAGAAATAGATATAATTTGAGAACAACTTTTAGAACTACCAACACATTGAAATTTCTTTTGACACAAACCAAACCCAAAAATACGGTTGAAAGAACGAAAAATTGTTGGTATTTCCAATAAACCTTGTTCTAGTGGAAAAAATTATATAGGTAAAACTCAAGACGAGAAAAAATGAACATCGCGAAGGCAGATGGCAAGATCGGGGATACCAAGCATATTCTAAAATCTAAAATTATCTGGAGATCACCATACAGAATGGAATGAAACAAAAATTACCAACAAGAAAACTCGTGAAAAAATTTGAAAACTCAAGCAGCAGATATTACGTGTATTTCAACTGACTTCTCAAAAACATCCATTATATGCAGTGGCAGATCTAATGGGTGGCACAGGGGCACGTGCCCCCCAGAGAATTGAAAGTAAAGTAAATATAATTTATTGAAATGAATTTTATGATTGAAAAAAAAATCAGGCCGATATAGATTGATAAAACCTAATTCATAAATAAAGCTTAACTATTTTTATACGTTACAGAATATTAATTAAATATCACATTTTGAGGCGAAAGTTTTATAGTGAAATTCAGATTTCGAAAATGAAAAAGGTTGTTTTCCAAAACGTCGACCACTGAAGCAAGCTTAGTATAAATATTTAATTAATTCAATTATTTTTTTATTGTTGTTTTTATTTTTATTGTTATTTTTTTTAATCACTTTTTTCAATTTGTAGCTTATAGAGTGTGACCCATTTTTAATGGAAACACCCCCCTAAATTTTGAAGTTGTGAACCGATTTTAATAATTTTTTTTTTAAA